CAATAACCATCCTTGATTTCAGGGATTTCACTAGTGGAGTATATACCAAAAATCTGTTGTAAATGCTGGTAATTGTTTGTACTAGCTTGATTCTCCTCTGTGTATAAATAGGAGCAGTTTGATACTCCATCTTAGTAGAAAATATATTAAGAATTAATCTTTCGAGAGAGTCTTTGAATTACCTCTCCCTTATTCTTCATTTTCTGTTTTTTATCTTGGTATCAGAGCCAAAACCATGGCCAATGTTTTCCCCCCTGCTTCGGACTCCAGCTCCACAAACCCAGAAACCTCAAACCTCAGTCGAGCAACTCAAGCTCCAACGTTTGGGAATTTCACCCCATTTGGAGTAAACTTGACTCAGGCAGCCTCTGTCAAATTAGATAGAGATAATTTTTTACTTTGGAAAAATGTTATCATGCCGATTGTAAGAGGCCATGGCTTGGAAGGATACTTACTGGGAATCAATGAGTGCCCTTCCCAGACCATCGATATTCAGATTACAACTGAGGCTGGAACTGTTGTCAGTACTTCTTCTAACCCTGAGTATTCAAAATGGATGTCTGTCGATCAACTTCTAATGGGGTGGCTATACTCTTCCATGACATCAGAAATTGTGATGCAGAGGCTGGAACTGTTGTCAGTACTTCTTCTAACCCTGAGTATTCAAAATGGATGTCTGTCGATCAACTTCTAATGGGGTGGCTATACGCTTCCATGACATCAGAAATTGTGATGCGTGTTATGGGATGTAACAGCTCAAGTGAGCTTTGGAAAGCCATAAATGAAAACTATGGGATTCTCAATAGGTCCAGAGTGACCTTTCTCACGTCTGAATTACAGAGGATGAGAAAAGGATCCATGTCCATGGACCAATACCTCAGCACCTTGAAACAACTCACTGATAACCTTGAGGTTGCAGGAAAGAAGATTGAGCACAGTGACTTAGTAACTCAAGTCCTAGCTGGACTCGATGAGGAATATACTCCTATTGTAGTTCAGATTAATAGCAAGGATCAAATCTCCTGGCATGAGTTATCATCCACACTCATGACTTTCGAGAGCAGGTTGGAGTATCTTAGCCAAGTTAGAACCAACTTTGGCTCAATTAATCTCACTCAAGGCATTTCTCAGACTATGAATTCCTATAATGGAAGAGGAAACAGAGGTTTCAGGGGCCAAAATGTCAGAGGAAGAACAAGAGGCAGGGGCAGGTTTGGAAGATCATTTGAAGGAAAAAACCCCTGTCAGATATGTGGCATGAACAATCACACTGCTGCGTGGTGCTTTAACAGATTTGATGAAAAATATATGGGAAAAAGGCCCAATGATCAAATCTCTAACTCTCACCCTTCTGCCTATGTTATAAACCCAGGACAAGCAGATGATCAAGCCTGGTATGCTGATTCTGGAGCCAGTCATCATGTCACCACCGATAAGGATAATGTTGCTGAAGCAAAGGAGTATGGAGGTAAGGAAAAAATGGTTGTAGGTAATGGTACTGCTTTGGAAATTTCTCATGTTGGCTCTAAGAAGTTTGATATTGAAACTGGAAAAACACTCATTCTAAAGAAACTGCTGCACGTACCCAGAATCAATAAAAATCTTATAAGCATCTCCAAATTAACTTCAGATAATAATGTTTCAGTTGAATTTTACCCTAATAATTGTGTTGTGAAGGATCTGTCAACAAGGAAGGCCCTAGTGCAGGGGAAGCTTAGAAATGGATTATACCGGCTGAATCTTCCCAGTCAAGACACAAGAATTCCAAAAACAAGTCCTACCAGTCACCATCATCCAAACAAACCTCAGTTCTCCCTCAGCTCAAGTTTATCTGATTCCAGAAAGTTTAGAAACAATGCTTCAGAATCACAGCTTGAAATCTGGCACAGAAGACTAGGACATCCCCCTAATCCTGTGTTATTTCAATTTCTGAAAGGTTGTAATAATTTCAAAACTATCAATAATAAAAAAATTTCATTCTGTGAAGCATGTCAACTTGGCAAATCACATGCCCTACCATTCAAACTATCTTCATCTCACGCAAAAATGCCACTTGACCTGGTCCATACTGATGTTTGGGGACCAGCTCCCATTTGCTCTACCTCAGGCTTTAAGTACTATGTTCTCTTTGTTGATGACTGTACTAGGTACACCTGGATCTACCCATTAAAGCACAAATCTGAAGTCACTCATTACTTCACACAGTTTAAGAACCAGGTCGAAAACCAATTTGAAAGAAAGATAAAAACTGTTCAGTCTGATATGGGGGGAGAATACAAAAATTTAAGTAAAGTAGCCTTTGAATCAGGCATTATATTGAGGTATTCATGTCCACACACGTCTGCACAAAACGGAAGAGCTGAGAGGAAACATAGACACATAACAGAGACTGGGTTAACTTTGCTAGCTCAAGCACATATGCCCCTTTATTACTGGTGGGAAGCATTCTTAACAGCAGCATACCTTATCAATAGAATGCCTAGTCCAACCCTTCAGCATAAGTCACCATACGAACTCCTTTTTAAACACAGCACTGACCACCAACTTCTCAAAGTATTCGGATGCTCATGTTTTCCCTGTTTAAGGACTTACCAGAAGCACAAATTTGACTTTCATTCTCAGAAATGTGTCTATCTAGGACCTAGTATATCTCACAAAGGGTTCAAGTGTCTTAGTCCTAGTGGTAGAGTGTTCATTTCCAGACATGTTATCTTTGATGAACTTTCTTTCCCCTTCAAAAGTGGATTCCTCAACAAAAAATCTCAAGACAAATCCTATCCTATTGTTTTTCATCAGCTACCTTTTATCAGCTCCCATAAACCATTCTCAAACTCATTAAATTCTCACAGAAGAATTCTAGAATCAGCTGGTATAATGCACTCTACAGATGAACCTGCACAAGTGTCTCAGAATGAAAATGAGGATGAAGATGTAAGGGCAAATAATGAAAGTTCTGATATGAATCAGACACAGGAGATGGAAAGAAATGACAGTCATGTTGATGATCACTCTGAAGTCTCAGGGGTTGGAAATGAATTGAGAAATGAGTCTATGATATCAGAAGGTGATCAGATAGCAGATCACTATGGAAATGAATTGAGAAGTGAATCCTTAATACCAGAAGATGATCAGACAGCAGATCACTTAATACCAGAAGGTGATCAGACAGCAGATCATCATATGGTGACAAGGTCTAAGGCAGGAATCTTTAAACCCAGGATCTTTGCAGATGTAGTTACAAACACAGTTGATGAGACTGAACCAAATAATGTCTATGAAGCATTGGAAAGTGAGAAATGGAGCAAAGCTATGAAGGAAGAATATGATGCACTAATCAAAAATGAAACGTGGGTACTGGTTCCAACAGACTCTGAAATGAAGATAATTGGCTGCAAATGGGTTTATAAACTAAAACGTGATACTGATGGAAACATTCAGAGACACAAAGCCAGGCTAGTTGCTAAAGGATTTCTACAAACATCAGGCATCGACTATTATGAGACATTTAGCCCAGTTGCCAAGGCTCCAACTCTGAAGATTATTCTTACACTGGCTGTTTCAAAAGGATGGGAGATAAGGCAAGTCGACATTAACAATGCTTTTCTCAATGGGAAATTGGAAGAAACGGTGTTTATGGAGCAGCCTCAAGGGTTCATTGATCAAGATAAACCATCCTTTGTATGTAAACTCAGCAAAGCTCTTTATGGGCTGAAACAAGCTCCAAGGGCCTGGCATGACACGTTGAAGGAAACCCTACTGAAGTGGAAATTTCTGCAATCAAAGGCTGACAATTCTGTATTCTATCAGGTGACTCAAGAATCTATGATTTACTTACTTGTTTATGTCGATGATATCATAATAACGGGAAATTGTGGTACAAGGGTACATAAGCTGATCGAAAAGTTGAATACAACTTTTGCACTGAAGGATATGGGGAGTCTTAAAAAGTTTTTGGGTATAGAATTCTTCAGAAATGAAACTGGTCTTCATATGTCACAGAGGAGATATGCTATTGATACATTGAAAAAGTTTGGCTTTGAGAATCTGAAACCCAGTGTTACACCTATGGCTGCCGGAAAATTAATTGCCAAAACAGAGGGACAAAGTTTAGAGAATCCAACCCTTTTCAGAAGTGCTGTAGGAGCTCTTCAGTATCTAACGCACACCAGGCCAGACATCACGTTTGCAGTGAACAGAATTAGCCAATTTCTCCAATATCCAACTGATGCACATTGGAACCTATTGAAACGTTTATTCAGGTATATTAAGGGAACCCTTGATATAGGATTAATAATTCAAGAAGCACAAGATTTTAACATTATTGCCTATGGTGATGCTGATTGGGCCTCATGCCCAGATGACAGAAAATCAACCGTGGGATATTGTGTATATCTTGGGGGAAACCTAATCTCCTGGTGTTCCAAGAAGCAGCAGGTAGTGGCAAGATCAAGTACTGAGGCAGAATACAGAACCTTAGCACACACCACTGCAGAAATTGTTTGGATTCAATCACTTCTTCATGAACTGAACATCACTCAGACAGAAATTCCCAGAATTTGGTGTGATAACCTAGGTGCAAGTGCTCTCGCATCAAATCCTGTATATCATGCACGAACCAAGCATATTGAGCTTGATGTGCACTTTGTTCGTGACAAGGTGTTAGCCAAACAACTCACAATTAGCTACGTCCCGACGACAGATCAAGTTGCTGATATTTTAACCAAACCGTTGCTGAACTCTAGACACTTATATCTACGAGGCAAGCTTGGATCTACAGAGACAAATGATATTCATAATGAAAACTACCAGTAGTCGCCCTACTTGACATAAACTGTCAGTTTGTTATTTGATGCATTAATGTGGTAGTGTTATTTTTTTATTTTTTACCTTGTGCATTAAATAATAAACTGTCATATGTATGTCATGCAGGACAACTACCGATAGTTTTCACTATGAATAACATTATTTTTTTCTTATTAGGCTGAGAGGCGAGCTCGAGAGTGAGTTGGGGAAGATAGGGTATGTGTTGTGGTTGGAGGGGTATACGGCTGAAGTTGTGGGCGGGGGAGGGAGAGGCGGAAGGGGCCGGTGGTAGCCTTCAATGTGAAAGGGCTCAAATTGAACACATATATCGGGGTAGGGTGGTGGTGACGAACTGTGAGGGCGGTGTGGTGGCAACAATAAGGATTGCGGGCTCTTTCTCAGTGCATTGTGTTAGAAAAGAAAGTTCTGAGGACTATAATACACTGGACAAGAAGAGAGGGCCTGAGGACTAAAATGCACCTAATACAAAGAAAAATGGAAAAGAAGTGATTTGTAATAAAAAGGTGGAAAAACGTAATATCATCAATAACGTTTTTCCCTTACCTGAACCGAAAGGAAGAATAATTCACCACCAAAGCTTCTCCAAACAAACCTACACTGAGCAACAATAACCATCCTTGATTTCAGGGATTTCACTAGTGGAGTATATACCAAAAATCTGTTGTAAATGCTGGTAATTGTTTGTACTAGCTTGATTCTCCTCTGTGTATAAATAGGAGCAGTTTGATACTCCATCTTGTAAGATATATATTAAGAATTAATCTTTCGAGAGAGTCTTTGAATTACCTCTCCCTTATTCTTCATTTTCTGTTTTTTATCTACGCCTATATATACAGCACACCATTCTAATAGTTCCATGCACATTCATTTCCATTGCCATTTTTTATAATGTCTAAGTTCTTGTCATTATTTATGGGATGCATGGCTATGCGGCCACGGGCCAATGAAACCGATCAAGAATCGACACGGTTCAAAAATCTGTACCTTGGAAAGGAAAAGACAACCACCCTTCATATTTACGTACAGGACCAGCTCGGCGGTGAGAACCCAACTGTCTTGGAGGTGGCGCGAAGCAACATTACATCTACTTCAACAACGTCTTTTGGCCAAGTCAGAGTCTTGGATGACCTGTAACAGCAGGAACTGATCGCAACTCGGAAAAAGTGGGCCGGGCTCGGGGGCTAATTACATTTACTGACTTGCAAGAATCTGCCTTGACAATGAACCTCAATTTTGTGTTTACATCAGGACCGTACAATGGAAGTACACTATGCATGCTGGGAAGGAATCCAATGGGAAAGAAATATAGAGAGTTGGCCATTGTTGGAGGCACCGGGGTTTTTCGAATGGCCCGTGGATATGCCAGTACCAACGTTTACTCGTATGATGTTAAAACAAGTTATGGTGTTTTGGAGTACAATATTCATGTTGCTTATTTGGAGGGATTGAGTGCAGATCAGTGAGCATGTGACCATTAGATTACTCAACCATGCGACAGTTCCTTTTTTACCGAGTATTTTATGGCAAATGATTATCGTTGTCGTCGTCGTGTTGTTGTTGTTATTATTATTTTGAATTTTCATCGTTTGTAAGTGAAGATGTTATTGGAAAATTTTTTATCACGCTATAAATTTATGAATTTATGTATCTTTTGACGTAAAATGGGTACTGAGGCAGGTTGAGGCATGCACGGAGTTTTTACGCCCTTTTTTTCCTTCTCTCTTTCGTAAAAGATGGATTTCGAGGGAAGTTGCAACTCAATCGATAGATTTGGACTCATTATGAAATTTTCCATTTTTATTTTATTTTATTTCAAATTTAGAGATTACCTCTGTATTTATATGGGGGAGAACTGAGTGCAAACAAAACGGAGACAAAGTCAAGAACTAAAACTAATACTAATTTTTTTTTTGCCTTTGTTTACTGTAATAACATACAATTATGTAAGCGTCTTCAATGATTAACTTGGGATCACAGAAAAAGTTTTTAGACTAAACAAATTGTCAAGTTGTGCACTATGCAAATCATTGCATGAACACATTTGACCTCATTGCTTCTTTCATGTACACATCGAACCCTTTTTTTCCTCGGTCCACAGAGACAAAATGTAAGACCGATGCTGCAGAAGATGGGGGAGCTTGCCTCCTCGTTCCACATAAACCACTCATAAATTCCAACTTCAATATGTCATCTAAAAGGTTTGGTTCTCTTGTCATATGTTTACATCATCGGAATAATCGTATTCCCAAGTGAGTTAGGAAGATTTGACTTGATAGAAACAAATAAAATACTCGTGAATTAACAGTGTATCTGTGGACTCAATGATTATAATTGTTTCTAATATACGAATAAAAAATTATACAATCAAACTTCTAAGAAGTTTGTACGGTCGGCATATTATCAAGATTTTAATAATAATTAATACCGGTCAAAACAAGACCAAGTGCTATCATTTCCAACTAAATTCATAGATGCCTAAGTAAAACGTTTCGGTCAAATCAATAAAAGTTGTAACCAAACCACTGCATTGGACAATACCACTTGCCATGAAAAATTATAATGCACCAATATGATAGTATAACGTTTCGGTCAAATCAATAAAAGTTGTAACCAAACCACTTCATTTGACAATTTCACTTGACATGAAAAATTATAATGCACCAATATTGAAAATAATTCACCTAATTCCATCGTTAATTTCTTCAGAAACCAAATGTAAGTTGTATATTGGTCAAGTGATGTTCATTTCCAGGCTGTCGCCGCCACCCCCAATACCCTTAATATCAGTCAAACAAGGAAATGAGAATAAACTCCACGTGGAAAATGAAACGAAGAATTAATCTCAGTTGAAATTTCAGACGTTCTTTTTCCTTGTAGTACAAGTAAAGTCTTAACGTACTCTAAATGACAATTTTCCTATAAAACCCTAAACTTGTACCCCCTAGGATTTCATCATTGAAATATACACTCATTCTACAGAGAAAAGAAGAGAGAAAGAAACAGAAATGGCAAATATTGGTGTAATTTTGATGATTTTCTCATTGATCATAGCCATGTCAAGTGTCCATGCTAAATCCCAGATGTCCAAACAAGAAGAAGCATGGTTTCGAAACCTCTGCCGAGGTAAGAAAAAGGTAACCAAGTTGCATTTTTATGTACAGGACGAACTGTCCGGTCCCAATAAAACTGTTTATGAAGTATCCCGATCAAACATTACTTCGATATCTCCAACATCTTTCGGTCAGGTTCGTGTTTTAGATAACTTAATGACAGCTGGTCCTGACCGAAATTCGACGGAATTGGGTAGAGCACAAGGGCTCATTACTTTTGCTGACTTGAAAGAATCGGCCTTGGCGATGAACATGAATTTTGTATTCACATCGGGGAAGTATAATGGTAGTACACTTTGCCTTTTGGGGAGAAATCCGATATTGGACAGGGATCGTGAGCTGCCGATTGTTGGTGGTTCCGGTGTTTTCCGAATGGCACAGGGATATTCTATTTCGAATACTTATTCGTACGATCCTGTTGCGGATTATGGTATTTTGGAATATACAATTTCTGTCACTTATGTTAAGGAATCTGATGATGGTATGCATTGAGAATAATGTGGTAAACTGATGTTGCTTGCTAGTATATAAACCATGTATATTGGATTCAGTTTCGAGTAATAATGGATTTTCTTGTACTTTTAGTATATTTGTGATCCCGCTGCTGGCTGTGTTAGCCCTGCGATTTATTTCAAGATAGCCTTATTGACCAATGAAACTCTCGATTGAGGTCGACATTTGAAGCCTTTACATTGTAGGGCTTGAAGATTTCTTAGTTAGCCGAGTCACATTAAAATTTGCATTCTCATTTTTCTACTCATTTTCAACCACACATTTTTCAATAAAATAATATTTTCCATCACATTAATAACTTTTTCTTCATTTTCAACCACACATTCTCCATCAATCTACCATTCCAAAATGAACCCTGCTACTCAAACAGGGTGGGGAATTGGCATCTCAGCCCCTTGTTTTTCGGCCTTTTTTTGCCCTGTCTGAGTAGTATTATACATTTCAAAATATATTCTTTCAAAATAATATGGTTTAAATACACTCTTGGCTTGTCATCACAAGTTCTTGGACTTTTCCTTGGTTCAAGTTAGCTAAGTTTAGTGGGCTTGTGAGCTTGTCAATCAGCCCAGACCTTTTATCAGCCTCTTGGATAATAATATTCAGACAATATTTTTTTTTGGCAATTACACCACATTCAACGTAATGATAAAGTTGTCTTTTTAAGTTAGTTTATAATAGTTTTTCATAAAAAAAAAAAATACTTCTACGGAGTTTGAGGGATGAACCTGCAGTCCGTACGGAAGCATTCATAAATGAAATTTATAAAAAGAAGGACCGTATTTAAAGCTAAAACTTTATTCGATTGCTGATCTGATGACTGGACCAAAATATAAAAATGTTTTTTTTTTTTTTTTAATTTAAGCTAAAGTAATATTATTAAAATAATTGATCCTCATGTCCAAAATATCAACTTCATGGACCGACTTAAAATTTAAAAATCTTTTAGTTCAAAAGGAGTCGGTAGGTAGCTTCAAACTAATTTCAGCACAAAATTATTTACCAAATCCTTAATGTGATTAGAACACGCTGACGTTAGAATTATAAATTAAAAAGAAAAAACAATTAAATATCTAAATAAAAAATAAAAACTAAATTTATATGTAATCTTTATGTCTGCAATGATTTAGGGTTGTGTTCCATTTTTGCTCTCTCTAACTGTTTCTTTCAATAAAATTTTGACACGTCACTCTAATTTTAATCCGTCAATATTTTATTGTAAGAATAGTCGAAAGAAAGAAATCGAAGAAACAGGAGATAATTATGGACTTCCCCCATATACACAACTATTTATATGCACATATATGGTAATTGATAATCACCAATAATTTCTAAAGAGAGATGGAGAAACATTGCATAATTTTAATCCTTTGTTCAATATTAGTAATTGCTAATGGCGATGGAGTCTCTCAAGGCCCCGAAGCAGTAAAAAAAATGGTTCAAGGAGCTTTCTAATGCAACAGAGAAGCTCACAGAGTTTCATTTCTACCTACATGACGTCGTAAGTGGCCGGAATCCGACTAATATTCCAATGGCTATGGCCAACGCCGCCACCAAATCACCCACATATTTCGGCCTAATCGCCGTCATGGATGACTTAATAACAGAAGGACCTGAACCCGATTCCAAGGTTGTGGGTCGAGCCAGTGGGCTCTTCGGGTCGTCTTCACTGCGAGAAGTAGGGTTACACATGACGTTCAATATTGTGTTCACAGAAGGAAATTATAATGGTAGTACGCTAGCTGTAAATGGGTACAATCCTTTTAATAATCGTTATCGGGAACTGCCGATAGTTGGCGGCTCAGGTGTTTTCAGGCTGGCACGCGGTGTCGCAACCCTAGAAAATGTTTGGTATAATAGTACCTCCGGTGATGCTCTTGTTGAGTACCATGTCATGGTGTTGCATTATTGATCCATTCTTTATTAATTAAAGAATGAATAATTCTCTTGTTTAATTCTTATTTTCTTACTTTAAAATTACTTTCGTAACTTGTGTTTTTAAAAAATCAATATTAATTTTTCCTAGGTTTCATCGTTCCAAGACACGTGCAAAGGTTATCTTCACGTCCATAAATTCCTGTATGAGCAGTGCAAGGCAGGTATGGTATCACGGGTCACATGCATGGGTTGTATTAAATAATTTTGTAGAATTATGTTATACCTTAGAAATTGAATTTTACCATTTAATCTATATGAAATAAATAAGTTTCAAACTTAAGTGGCTACATAATGCAAAAGAATATGCATTCTAAAATTTACGTCGTTGTATTTGTAGATTTTATCGAAAATATATCGCATTATTGGAAAGAATTTATCTGAAAAATGTGTAATGAGTTTCGTTGATTGCTTCTTTAAATCCATCTATTTATGACTTCAATGTATGAACAAAATAGATACATGGAATCCATTAAGACACGTTATAACATCATCTTTGTATTATAAGGAGATTATAAAGTATGAAACGTGGGGGTAATAAGTGATTTAATGAATGAATTAATTTTTGAGGGAATATTTCAAAAAAAATAATGAATTTTTGTAAGATGGAAATGCCCAAACTAGTGCTTCCACGATTCAACCTTGATTAGCTGCTATAAATTCGTACACGTGCACGCACTAAGATCGTCGCTTACGTGTCAAGCAATTTAAAATATTGTGCACGCATGTCAATTAATTCTTTTATTTCCATAACATGTGTATCAATAAATAATTATAGATATGAACTTCCATAAGTACATCAACTTTGACACATCTATCTTGTGAAAATTGACTCGACAAAAAAAATAAGAACTTAAGAGTTAAAAGATATCGAACTGTCAAAATCGATCGTGGGTCAAGTAGTTCGAGCTTGAAATGACTTGTTGGGTGGTTTTCTCTTTATTTCTGAATGGGACGATTTTCCAATTTTTTTCTGGCAAAATCGACTAGTCTAGTCCAATTTTCTAAACATTGCATTTTATTGTCCACACAATTACAATATAATCTGATAGATTCATTGACTTTTTTTGTAAGGAAGCATTGGCCATAATAAAAAGACAACATTTTGTTTCGTTTAATTATTTCTCCTTCACATGGGACGTATTTCCTTTTTTTGCGGGCTTATACTATTGAAAATTAGGCAAACACGTTTTACCATTTTATACAACTTCACATAAACGATACAACTCTTGTGTGTATATATAATTTTAAGGCCATTTCATCTTCATCTTGTATCCAAAGAAAGATGGAGAGGAAATGCATCATTTCCATGCTTTGTGCATTCCTGATCGCCGGCTTTGCAACTCCTGTCGCTCCGGCGATTGACAAACGGCCGGTGGCAGTAGAAAGGTGGTGCGAAAAGCTCCCTCATGCAAAGGAAAAGTTGACCAAACTTCACTTCTTCTTTCACGACGTTGTGAGTGGCAAAAATGAGACGGTGGTCCGGGTGGCAGAATCCAAAGCCACTGCCAAATCACCCACCGTCTTCGGCGCTGTGTTTATCATGGATGATCCGCTGACAGAGGGACCCGAACCCAGTTCAAAGATAGTGGGTCGAGCTCAAGGAATATATAGTTCGGCTTCAATGGAGGAGATTGGTTTTTTAATGACCCTAAATTTTGTGTTCACAAATGGCCAGTACAATGGCAGCAGTCTTAGTGTGCTTGGGTACAATCCGATTTTCAAAAAGTACCGGGAGATGCCGATTCTTGGTGGCTCCGGCCACTTCCGCCTTGCACGGGGTATTGCCACTGCCAAAACTTACCGGCTTAGTGCTTCCGGCGACGCCATTGTGGAATACCATGTCATGGTCTTGCATTATTGACACGAGTGAGTTATACACTACCACTAGTGCTAAGCATCAATTTAGATGGTAACACATAATAAATCAAATTAAATGAATATCATAATACGTTTAATTAAACTTGTCACTTAATGTCACACACAGGTCATATAGATTGATGCTAAATATCATTATTCTATTGACGCTCCCCATAATTGTGTGGTTACGTATTTTTCTTAAAGTTCATTAATTGGAGGCAGACGATATGTTGTATTTCATTTTACCTTTTATTATCAATAAATACTCCAATTTTATGGTGGGTGAATAAGAAAGGAACAAAAAGGGTATTTTTTTTTTCCTTTGTAGCCTTCTATTCATGTTTCATGGCCATGCCAGCCTTAGCGTGCAAATTGAGCTATTCCCCATGCAAAGGTCGATCAAAACAATTAATGCTGATGAGTTCCATTAATATTAGCCCCCATTTGGTGACCTTCATTTGGCATAAACAATGTTATGAATAGTAATTTTTTTAAAGATTGTGTGATTAAAAAGTAGAAAAAGAAATAAATTTAAGTGCAAAATATCTTATTGTGTGAATGTGAATGAAAATGAGTCCGTAGAAAAAGGAGTTCCGAAAAAAAAAAACCCCCTTCAAACAAGGGCTTAAATGGAGCTAAGAATTTAAAACAAGGCATATTTTCGTGAAGGTCAAGTGATGTCCAATTAAAATTGAAACAATTTGTTATCAGAAGCTAATAATTCAACTATAATAAAAATTTAAGACCAACTTCCTTATTTTTCGATCAATGATAAAAACAAACTATTCATAGAAATATCAGCTTATTGATCAAGCAACCAAAAGTCGAACTTTTAAGCAAATTCGTTTCACACAAATACAAATGTATGCCATCGGCCTCAAAAACCAGAGTAGCACAAGAGCTTCTTCATGCCAGAATCCAGATACAATATAACCAACAAATGTTCAGTTGTGCCACTAAAAAATTCACTCCAAAATTGGTACAAGAAATTTACTTGATATAATAATATACACGTACCAATTAGGTGCTAAAAAGTTAAATCAACAAAAGCAATAAAATCAAGTTCTTCAAAGTGAGAATACGTGATGCCTCGTGATTCTTCAGACAAGCTTCTAATTGACACAGTATTTTTCTATCTTTTACCCACTTATTGGACAGAGGAAGCATCTGCATAGATAGAATAGATAGGGAATTATCAAGATAAAGGGAAAACAAGCCGGAGAAAAGTTTTGACAGTGAAAAGGACACGAGGGATATCTGTGACCAAGAATAACAGAAAAAGCAAAATAGCAATTTCTGATCCACCATAAACTATGTAAATAGAGTGACTAAACTATCCAACGTTCGGACAGAACCAGTGACTTGTAATTTGGGAAATCAATGTGAATAATACAGGTATCTAAAGTTCGAGTAATCAGGTATAAGTAACAGATTTATACTTGCTAAACTCTCTTACTTTCTTCACTGATTTGATGACATAAAAAACACAAGGCTACAAGCGTAAGCAGGCAGCATTGAGGAGGGAGTGAGTCCCATATCATAAATGTAAGGATTAAAATAATATGTTGTTATTAACATTACTATTAGATCGATTCCTTCGAATTGCTCTCTCAAGAAGAGTCGAAACATCATAAATTCTACAGTGGCTAGCATTGAAGAGGAAAAGATGGACTTCACATCAATCAGTCTAAAAGAAATATCAATCTACAAGATAAGAAGTGCTTCAAGATCGACTCGCGGACAACATTAAATAACATACTAAAAATAATGGAGTGCAAAAATTCAGCATTTGCCACTACCAAGACAACATAATACGAAACAAGAATGAAACTTGATACCTATGTTTGTTGCTTATCCACAAAGGATGGCCATCAAAAAAGAAACTCGGAAGATCCAACAGAAGCCACATCATGGATGACTCAATTTTCATCATTATACATACTGCACTGGCTGAGAATAACCAAGCAACTTTTTAGCCAGAGGAATTAAGCTGATCAAGGCTATCTGAAGCTGTTCGGTGCTGTTGATACGAATACTAACTTGTCCAGATCCCCTGTTATTTATATTGACACGGCCAATAAAATTTGTATGTCGTCCAATAGGGATTTGAGTCTGCGAATTGCATCCAATAGCAAGATCTCCATGCCAATCCATAACTGACAGTCCCAAAGTTGATAAGAAACGCCCTAAAGGATGGTCTTTGTCCCTCAGCGTTGCTTCCAGACTACCACCATAAGCAACATCCCCACGACCAAAAATGGCTCCTCCAGAAACAACCATCTGACCTCGTTTACCAACAATTAATTTGTCCTCTAATTTCATTCCACCAGTTAAAACATCACCCAACAGAGTAGCTGAAAGACCAGCAATGGCCTTATTTATTCTGTGATTGCTAAATCTTGTCTCACTTCGAAGAGTATAAGCAATATCCTTTCCAACTGATTGCATGTCAAAACCTACAGAGGTTGCTTTACCATTCCCATGTTTCACTGAACTTGCAATTTCCATTTGAAGGTTGGCGTCCTTTTTATCTTTTGAAACGTGGCCAGAAAAAGATATCGGTACCTTATCTTTTACCACAAACAATCTTTCTAAATTTATGCCCTCGTAACCAATGTCATGATCCCAACCATTAGGTTCTAAGACAGGTCTCACAAGCCATGGGTTAGAGGAGTCAAGGTAACGATATCGATGAGTTGGATTATCAGAATCAAAGGAAGCAGGTAGGGCTAAGTCTTGCATAGGAACTGGCACAGACGCAGAACCATTGGTCTCTTCTTCTGCATTTTCACCGAGGTCAGGAGACAAATCTTTAGCTGCTTCTTGCATTTTCTTCATCATCTTCCGTCGCCTTTTCTCTTCCTTCAGCTGCCTCTTCATGAAAAGCTTTTCCCTATATTCTAGTTCATCATAGTATGCCTTCCTTTGGGCTCTAGTAAGCTTTGCCAGCTGTGCTTTGGTCAATGGTTTGAATGGTGGTAATTCATCATATTCTGATTCATCTTCTGAGTCTGAGCACTCATCCAGATCCTCATCTAAAGCATCATCCTCATCGCCGAATTGCTCTGATGGCAGTTTCACTTGGGGTCTTGACTGCAGAAGGGATGAAAGAAGGAAAGGTAAAGGAGGCGATCTTGCTCGAGAGATAAATGGCTTTCCAGGCGAGCTATCTTGCAACTTCAGTAATGTATTCGCTTCAGCCAAAATTTTTGAAGCAAAGGACAGAAGCAACAAATGAGGTTTCCAAACCTGACCGTTTGGCAACACTCTCTGTCCAGCTCTGTTTGTTCTGCATGCCAAGTGGTTCTCCACCAATGAAACTGGATTCATCAACCGCATATCTCCAGCAGCCTGACGTATTGCTTGCTGGACAACATGGGAACGCTGGGTTACAAACATGTCATAACTTGTTGCAGTGCCATTGGGACCTTCAGGTGGCGCAGATGCAGCATGAGTCAGAACGACAATTGCATTGAACCATATAGACGGCCCAAAAATTTCAGTGATTGTACGCAGTAATGGCATGTCACCAAAATCTCTGCTCTGCATATCCAATCTATCCAGATACAAAACAATGTCGGGGGTTGTTTTGTTAATAAACCGTTTGACAGAACGGAGGATTTTCTCATTCTGGCGTTGGTCTGACCAGGACGGCAAAAGCCCAGGGGTGTCAATTACGCGCACCTTGATTCCCTGCACGGTCCCAACAATATCCTGAACTTTCTTGGTGCCCAACTGAAAAGCATCAGTACCAAACTTGACTTCGTCAAATATGGAATTTATGGTTGCACTTTTACCAACCCCTGTTTTACCAAGAACCATGATTGTGCAGGTGAAATCCAAGGGTTCTTGTCCACCTGCCTCAAGTTGCTCGGCCATTGCACTGGCACGATCAAAGCTAAAGGCAGCAACACGACCCCCACTTCTCCCCCGTAGCTGTTCAGCTAACCCTAATCTGTACAAGACCTGAGCCACAACAACGTTATGGGGAGTCTGCCCAAGCCTATGAGCAAGTCGCAGAAATTTGACCCGGATCATCTGGAGCTTTTCACGGGTCTCATCATACTCCTCGGCCTCCCCATTTGTCGGATCTTCAATGAGTTGGTCCTGCACTCGAGAAACAGCTCCATTCACTCGAGGCTGCTGTACCACCCGAGAAGTAGGTTCCAATAGAGGGGCAGCACGCCCAAGGCCAGCAGGACGAGCAGGAGTTGCAGAGTTAACAATGGATGGAAGAATATCAGCTACAGGCTGCGGGGACGCATGCTCACGGCTAGCAGGATGTGCTGGAGATAAAGGGTTAGCAGCAGCAGGTTTGATTAACTCTGAAGCAACCTGCACCTCTTTCTTGTCCTTCCGTCCTTCCTTCTCTGGCTCATCGACAACAACTTCAGAGACTTCATCACTTGCATTGACAAGCTGAGGTTGAGAAGCCCCAGAATTTTCTGCTACCAATTCAGACGAGCTAAAATGGGTCTTCTCAACACTTTCAGCCACGGAATCTTTTACCAAAGGTGAACTCACAACCTCTAGGTTTTTTGTGCTTTCCTCCACTACAGCAAGAAAATTATTATCGAATCCAGAACTTTCGTTCACTTGAACAGCCACAGAAGCATCTGAGGCTGGTATACTCCCATGCTCTTCCCCAACTATATCCTGATTGTCAGCTTCCTCACTGTGTGACTCTAGTTTCTTCAGTTCTGTATTCTCACCATCATTGAGTAGGGCACCAGAAATGAGTGAATTTTCAACTTGATCTCTGACGATAACCACAACATTCGGTTCATCGTGATGCAAAACACTCTCACTGGACTCGGACTCTGGCAAAGGTTCAGTTTCAATTCCTTTGATCACATAAGCATCTTGGGTTTCTGATGAAGTCTTATGACTCTGTTCTTTCAATGCATCAGTATCTGAAAGGATTGGGCCTTCATGAGTCAAAGTTTCAGCTAAATTCATATGATCTGAATTAGCATCTTGGGTTTCTGATGAAGTCTTATGACTCTGTTCTTTCAATGCATCAGTATCTGAAAGGATTGGGTCTTCATGAGTCAAAGTTTCAGCCAAATTCATATGATCTGACACGCCATTCACAGGCTTCTCCATAACAGTATCGCCTCCTTTCACCTCATTGGCATCTCGAATCTCTGAAATCTCATGAATCTGGGCTTCCTTCATGTCAGGCTTCTCAGAGCCCACACCAACCCCTTTTAACTCACTGATATCTCGAGTTTCTGACATCTCAGTAATATTTTCTTCCATTATTACTGCATCAGCGATCTTCATCTCTGCAGGATTCGATGCACCTGTTTCAGGATTCTCAGGAGACTTACCAAACTTTTCATTGAACTCATTCATGTCATTTAGATTTTCAGTTTTTCCAGAAGCAACAGAATCGGTGTCACCTACTCCATTCTCAACAGCAGTGCCATCCATCAACCTATTCCTTTCATCCATCACAAGTTTCTCTGTAGCAATTTGATCATCGTCAGAAGACTCATTCATCAAAAAATCAGCTTTTGCCTCGGACTCCTTATCTGCATGCTGAATTGCACCGGAAACCCCAATTGCCTCTTCAAACATCTCAACCTCGTTGCCTAGATCTGAATTCACATTACTACTCTCTGAAGTTGCAACTGTGTCAACGGTTTCATCTTTCTTCATGTCTCTATTCTCTGAATCGACCCTCGGAGTCTCTTCCACCGCCTCCTCAAATACTTCATCTCCATCTGAGTCCTTTGATCCATCCAAACCTGAATCAGCATTTTCCTCTGCTCTTGACTCCGAAATGTCATTGTTTACACCATTTTTCTCCCCTAATTTAGACCCCTCTGCGATGGTAATACCTCTATCCATCACAAAACAATCTTAACCACTCAAAAATTTCACTGAAACAGAAAAAAAAAATTAATAGAAAATAAAACTAAACACCAAAATACCTCAGTAACAGATATTAACAGCACAAACAATGAGTCTCAACAATCATAACTCAACTCTAAAATATACCCAAATACAAAAACAAATTATTTTAAACAAAACGAAAGAGCATTATGCAAATTGACTTTCTATAAATTCATAGAATGTCAAACCACTTCATCCAAGTGCCTAAACTGTTAAGAGGGCAGGCAGAATTTATTTATTCACTGGTATCTACAACGAGATATTGCAGTTTTGTGCAAACTCACCAACAACCTTCACTAAATAACCAAATAGAACAACTCGAAAGCGTAATTTCCAAGATATCAATACACATTAAAGAAATCTCCTTAATAAAAACAAAACCCATAGCACACGAAACACATACATTATTGATTTCGAACGCATAAAACAAAGCAATAATAATTTCGTATAATAATAATTTCTCTAACACTTAACCTGTACAAATAGATGTATACGAGCATGAAAATCAAATCTGCAGTCTACATAAATTAGGGTTTTGCATTAATTATTTAAGAGCCGGCGAAAACAAAAAACAAAAGATAGATTCTAAGTGAAAAAATAAAAATAAAAATTACCAGGCAATACGCTTGATGTATAGGTTTAGGGTTTTAGGGGATCGGTAGTGGCTCTGTCGTGTTGCAGTAGATAGAGGATCGTCTTTGTAAACAGCTAAAGCTGAAGTATAAAATTGGTGAAATTGAGGATAAGAGTTAATCGACGGTGGAGATGAGTTTAAAGTTTTGGGATCTAACGGTTAAGAATTATGTATAGGTTATTAGTGAAAATTTTCTACCTAATAGTGGAGAAAGGATTAGGTGGTTCATGGAACACGTGGAGCCAACAGGATTGCTACTTACTGTGATTAATTTGGGTTAATTTGCACCCTTTGATGCTCAAATAAAAGAAAACCTGACTTAGCAAATTATTGTAAACTGCAATTAATTTACTTTAAAGAAGAACAATTAATGCTAAAATTGTAAGATCAATAGTAATATGAGAGAGAGTGTGTGTCTGTGTGTGTAAATATTAAATAAAGAGTTTGTATAAGTTCAAGCAATGATTTATACGGCCAAATGCAAAAGTTAAGTTGTCTGCCATCTTTATGGTTTGTGGTGTGTTTAGTTAGTTCGAGAGAATCGAATAATTTGTACTCCAATCGATTAGTCATGTCTAGATTGATTGTACGTTTAGGCTCTGTTTGGTACACATTATTTTTTTCATTCTCATTGTTCTACTCATTTTCAATCACACATTCTTCAATAAAATAATATTTTCCGTCACATTAATAATTTTTCCTTTATTTTTAACCACACATTCTCCATCAATCTACTATTCAATAATACATTCTTTCAAAAGAATATGTCCCCAACACACATTTAATATTGAAATTAATTTACATCTCATTCTTCTACTCATTTTCAACCACACATTCTTCAATAAAATAATATTTTTCATCACATCAATAACTTTTCCTTCATTTTTAACCACACATTCTCCATCAATCTACTATTCAATAATACATTCTTTCAAAAGAATATGTCTCAAACACACTGTTAATATCTTGACTCAATATTCGGAAGAAATGAAGAGGATAAGAGTAAGGAAGCAAAAAGTGCTGCACCCTTAATGTAAGAACAAAAACTAGGGTCCATTAAAGAACCTTACCCCAGCCAATCTTATTCAATTGTCCATTTAGTGAAAGAGAGTCCTTTGTACTTTTGACAGGGAACAAGTTTTGGATCCTCCCCTTTGCCATGTACTCACACACTTTTAATTTTGGTAGCTACTCAATAAGTGAAGCAGACACCCTTTTACAATGATAGTAATATAAAAGTTTTTTTTCTCTAAAAAAACCATTTAAAAAGTGAAATGAGATTGCTACTTTAAAAATGCTAAATTCGATCAATTTGGCAACTATTCGATTCTATACGGAACTTTCTCTTTGAAAAAGATGAGTAAATGAGCCTCAATATTAATTCAAAAGTAGAACTCAATTGTCCAGTTCATTTGCGTTTGAAACCCGACTACTGTATATGTTTATAATATCAAAATAATACTAGGTGAATCAGGTCGGGGTCTGAATTGAAACAATTTTAATTAGTTTCAGCCTATTGACTGGACTACTATGGCGTGGCAATTCGTGATTAGCTTGGATAAATCTTAGGAACATGAAGCACTTGAGTTATTAACGAAGATGATTATGCTTTGCGTCAAACCTGATCAATTTAATTTTAGCAGTTGCCTGATTGCTTGTGCTAGCTTAATTTCGCTTGAGCATGGTAGACAAATTCATTCTCATTTGACAACGTAAGTATTAGACCTAATATAGTAGTTTTGAGCGCCCTCATCGACATGTACTCAAAATGTGGAAGTCTAGAAGTAGGAAAGAGAATTTTTGATAATATGGAAAACAGGCAAAATGTTGTGCTGTGGAACACGATGATAACTGCATTAACATAACATGGATGTAGTGAAAAAGTGATAAAGATGTTTGCTGATATGGTGAAACTGGGCTTGAAACCAGACACGGTCACCTTTCTGTCCTTCTCAATGCATGTAGTCATTCCGGGCTAGTGCAGGAGGGACTCAGTTTTTTCGACTCCATGGCATCTTGCTATGATACTGTTCCCGATCAAGAGCATTATGCATGCTTAATTGATCTACTGGGTCAGACAGGAATGTTCAATGAGGTGATGAATCAACTGAAGAATATGCCGTGTCAAGCTGATGACAGTATTTGGAATGCATTGCTTGGTGTCTGTAGGATTCATGGTAACATAGAGTTGGGTAAAATTGCGTCAAAGCATCTTACAGAATGTGAGCCTCAATCCCCTACAGCATATATCTATTGCTTTCAAACATATATGCTGCACTTGGTAGGTGGGAATCTGTAGAGGAAGTGAGAAAGCTAATGAATGAGAGGAACGTGAATAAACCAAGCCTTGAGTTTGTTCGAGATTGAGCGGAAATTGCACTTAGATTATGTACCAAATAGTTTACGACCTTTGAAAGATGATTCATACTCTGCCTTGGAACTGTTGGCTGACCCAAACTCGTCAGAGTAATGCTGGAAGGTAAACCTTTTTTCGATTTCTGTTAGTTAGACAAGTGAGAATGTGATAAAGAAACCACCCCTTTGACACTCCATGGCTTGTATTGATTTGTCTTTGGTTATTGATTAAGTCCTAGAGAAACCACGATTGTGTACAAATCATATCCATTGGCCGTCAAGTAGTGCTAGGTGACGTGTTTTGTAAGAAGGATTGAAAGTGATATTTTAAGGAAGAAAAATAAAAGAAATTGGAATTTTGTTCGTATTGGTGGCTGTTCTTGCGAAACTTGCAAGCGTACGGGATCATCGACAAGTAATAATGTGATGATTTTAGAGTATCATCGCAAGGGCAATAATAATTATCTATTTCATTTAAATTAATTATATGAGCTTCGGTTGACTTATTGAAAATGATGCAGCACCTACTTTTATGATCTAGAATTGAATTATATTAGTTCTATGATTGTGATTTATGGAATATCCAACTTTTGGCATGATAATGCTAAACAATTACTGAAATCACGCAATTGATGTAGGTGCAATTACTTGTGCGTTAAGGTGAAGAGATCAAGACGTGTATTTTTACGTATGAATTGTAGCAAAGCGTCTCCGTTAAACATCAAATCCATTCGTTAAATTATTTCGTCATTGGGACTCGTTGAATCCTCGAGATATGATTCCTTAAACAATGAATTTCGACGCGGATTTAATCAAATAGAATCTTGGCATTAATTTGAATCAATTGTATTGATACGAGAGTTCTTAGTAGCACAAAGAATGTAGTTATTGACAATCTAGTTACATAAAATCATAGTAGTGAACAAATACTTTTTAGGCACCAATCTTCAAAAGCAGTTTCCCTAGATGCACTTATTTAGTAATCAAACGATTGAACGAAATTTCGCTATAACAACCATTATTGAAATAACATAACTGGTATAGGCACAATACAAACATAAAAATACTCGACCCTTCATAGGAACATATGGATTTAAGGTGACTTTATCCGAACTTGTATAGATATAAATGAAAATGCTAGCTACTATGGTTCATGTGGCGATGAATGGAAGATATTATGATATTAAAATCAAAATCAACCAGCAAAAACGCATCGGATATTCCTAATAGTGGACTAACCAAGGAAAGATAATCGATAACTACAACTACCCTTCAATAATTGAAACCAGCTGCTCCACGTCTGATTGTTGCAATATTTGAGAAACAAATCTTTACAGTAAAAAAGTCGAAAAATTAGGTCTGAATTCCTTAACCTTTTGTGCGGTATGGTTACAGATCCCTAATCTTCAGGAGCGATATTCTAGGTCCCTAACCTACTTAAATACGTGAATTCGGACTCCACTCACTGAAACTATCCATATAGATATTAAAATTGCACTCAACTTTCAGTTGAGTTTGAAAGAAATGTTAAGTGGTTAACCCTCTGACTTCAATCCGGATGAAAGTCGCATTCGAGTTCATCATCCATTTTAACTATTTTGGTTACGTGCAAATCCAAATTCATATATTTAAATGAGTTGAGAATCTAGAACTCATTTTTTAAGGTTGATTGTCTATAATCACAATTTGTGAAAATTTAGGGGTTGCAGTCCTAATTTTTCCATAAAACATCGTAACTTTTTTTTTAAAAAAAACTTATTATAATTGATTCTTTCCAACGGATGATGTTAAAACCCACTATTAAATTGCATTAACGGATCATTTTTCCTGTACAATAACAACCAAAGATAAGGTGGAGATACAAAACAACAAAGGAACCTGAAGAGAAGAGGAAGAAACAATAATTCTTAAAATCATCTTCTTCTTCGTGTGTTCAGACAATGGGTTCCCAGGTTTCGAAACAGGTTGAACGAAGAAACTCAATTCGAGCTGAGAAGAAAGTTCTGTTCGAAATGAAACAAAGCAATGGATCCGAATTCCCAGGTTCAGACTATCATCCCTCGGACAGGAAGAACTGGATGTTGAGCCTGAATCCCGACAAAGTTCAAATCAACCAGATTGTGTGGCCTGGTACACATGACTCTGCAACAAACAAGATTGGATTCCCGTTTGTAACTCGCCCTTTTGCGCAATGCCAATCCCTGTCAATCTATCAACAGCTTGTAACGGGAACCCGGGTACTCGATATCCGGGTTCAGGAGGATCGTCGGGTCTGTCATGGCGTCCTCCTCGCCTACAGTGTTGATGTCGTGATTGAGGATGTTAAGAAGTTTCTGTTGGAGACACAGTCCGAGGTTATAATCCTCGAAATGCGAACAGAATTTGGACATGATGAACCTCCAGATTTTGATAAATATTTGGAGGTTCAGCTTGGTGAGTATCTTATACCACAAGATGATCAAGTATTTGGGAAGAAAATTTCCGAATTATTGCCTAAGAGAGTTTTCTGCGTGTGGAAACCAAGAAAATCACCTCAGCCAAAGGCAGGTGGTTTGCTTTGGAATTCCGGGTATTTGAAAGATAACTGGGTCGATACTGATTTGCCATCGACAAAGTTCGAGAGCAATATGAAGTATTTGGTCGAGCAGCAACAGGTGACGGCTCGGAAATTCTTTTACAGGGTCGAGAATACTGTCACTCCACAGGCGGATAACCTGATACTGTGTGTTAAACGTGTTACAGATCGGATTCGTCCATATGCAAGGTTGTTTATATCTCAGTGCTTCTCTCGGGGCGTTGCTGATCGGTTGCAGATTTTCTCGACTGATTTCATTGATGAGGACTTTGTCGATGCTTGTGCTGGACTTACCAAAGCAAGGGCTGAAGGAAACGCTTGAGTCGAGCTCGAGTTTGATTGTTTTCTACTGCACACTAGTCTGAAAACTGTGAATCATTGTTGCCACTAAATTCATTGTTTTTTATTCATTGTAGTGATCATTCAGGTCACATATGACATGTTGGTAAGAAGACTCGATAAGACTGGATAGTATTAAGAAAATATTGTCCAATTAAGTACGTACGATGTATCAAGCATGCACGTAAGGCGTGTAAGTATTTCCACACGTATCTTGTTATGTTTGTCCTATGTATAATTTGTGCATAGAGGTGTTACAATCTGAACGAATAAATTCTGGACATTCAGCCAGGACTATCGTTCTTCTCAATAATTTGTAATTGTAAATAAAGCCAAATTCTTGAAAACCAAGAGAAAGACAACAAAAGTTCTTTTTCTGATAAATTGAATATTCTCTAGACCCATGATAACTTTAGGCAAAGGACAACATTCAGTTAGGTTTACAAACATAGGCATATAAAATGAAAAATAGAAACCTCAATCAGTAATACAGAATTTTGACTCGATTTTCTCCAATCTTTCAGCAAAATCCTGGTTTAAAGATCTTTGATAATCTAGCTTGAATCTCCCATTTTATGAAATGGAGACTGGAACGAGCCTCTATCCAAGTGTGTTGATAGCCCTAACACCATCAGTATAGTTCTCGCTAGTTGATGGCAGCCTGCTGAAAGTGTACATATTATGTATGCAAGGATATGTGCTGATAAAGGCTGCCCGTAAACAATTCTGGAGGGACGACAGATTGCTCAGCTTATCTTCTGGGGTAGGAGCAGGAACCATCAGCTAATACCCTGTCAGTGCAGAATTTGTTTTTCAAAACTTCTTCTAGTTGCTCAAATATCAATGAAAATAAACCTGCCAAAGAATGAAATGGCGAAGAGAGATTTTAGTTGGAAGGCATAAACTGTATTTCAATAAAATGAAATTACGATTAGAAAACTATGGAAAAGAACTACATATTCACCTACTGAGCATGCTTAGTAGTGAAAGGAAAACGAGTTTAAGAAAAATTTGAAAAAAATATTTTACCAATCAGATACAAAGAAGAAACTAGAAGATAAGAAAATCCTTCCTGGGCAAGACAACAATAAATCACAAGTAGATTGGCAATATTGTTATAGATTCAGCATTCAGAATAAATTTTCAGAACAAACTTAGGCTAACTGAGGCTGAGAATGGACAAAAGAATGTCTTGCTATACTTCAAGAGTATAGATGAGCTAAAATTGAAGTCAAAGGTACTGTGGTGCATTAGTCATGGCTTATTCTACCATTTTTAACAACTGTTGATTAAAAATTAAAACGTAGATAAAAGAAATCAGATAACCTGAGCTGGAGCTTTCTTTCTGGTGTAATGTTGCCCTAACCAAAAGTGTTCCTGGAATTTGCTGAAAGACCTGAGTATAAAATAGAGAGTTAGAACTATATCCAGGTTTACCAGAGATTACTATGATAAAAAATTCAGGGGAAACGGAAATTACCGAAATGCGGAACCGCAGATCATCTGACTGACAATTGTTATAATTTAAAGTACTGGATATCTCCAATTCGTTTTTGCATCGAACAGCTTCATTCTTATTTTGTGTCTCACCCTTCAGAATCGTGTTACAATGATTCTGTGAAGCAGTGATCTACAACATGAAATTATATGTACAGTAAGAATATGGAAGTCACGCAATCATATAAATTACGCCATGAAATCACTGAGCATACATCAATATTGAATGTGGCAGCATTTAGTTTACAGGATGCACCACTGCTGCAGAGAAAAGATTCCACTGACTGCAACACGTGAAATGCGCTATGCTGACGTTGAAGGCCCTAGATAAACAGTGTACTGAAATATGAGATCTATCACACGGAAACTAAACATAACCATAGGTAAAAAAGCACAGATAGTCAGTATAAAATGCTATACACATACAATATGTACAAATAAAGTGTGGGCGACTAGGCTTTGACGTGACAACAGGACATAAATTGAACACGATAGTTTGGGGCTTTAGCTGTCTGTTGGTAGAGCTTAGATGTTTTGTCACTGGGTGCAGTGACATTCCTCATCAATGAATTGAGATCCATGAAACTCAAATTAGCAAACATGCAATATCTGTGTCATGTTTTCTAAACTGTTAGGGATTTTGTGAGCATGTGTAGAGCCACTCTTGTATTCACTCATTTTATCCTAAAAGTCTAAAGCCGATTCATGGCAACCATGAGCATCCGAAGGCCATATGCATAATCCCCTAGCCATTGGTCACTAAAGCAGCATCAATGATCAGTTTGAAGGGGGTAAACTTCAGAGGAAAAAAAAGGCTAATTTCACCTAAAACCCAGGAGAAGATATACTTTGAGTACCATTTGAAAGCATTTATGTGACAAATATTTGGCACAATAATCCTGTAATACTCAAGCCTAATTAAGGAAAGGCACCATTTTCCTTATGAGCAGATGGCTGCCTTGTATCCAATGAAAAGTTTGACACAGTCATAGTCTTATATTTCCCATGGTTAAAGTTACTTGTGTGAAATGCATCTTATCTATGAATTTTTTAGGGGAAAACTTCTACATCCCTCATTGGAAATCACAAAGTAATATCTACATTACACCCCCTCCCCCAAACCCCTAAAAGATGCCAATACCAGTACTGCATCCCATAGTCAAAATTTCAACAAATTAACATGCCCCTTGGAGTAGGAAGGTTCTAACAGACATGCTACCACAATATCAGCAGCTTATTTTCTAATATATATGAAGTCCAGTACAGATGACAAAAAGAAAATAGCAGCACATATAAAAATTTAAGTAGCTGCAAATAGTATGATGTTTGATTTGAACTAAGTTCGTATTATAAATCGCTCAAATTTCGAAATGCCTTGGAATCTAAAGTTATCTAAATGATATGAAGATGGTGAAAAGGATTAGTAAACCTCTAGCATGAAAGACAAATTTTTCTTCTCAGTCACGTGTGAAAATAACATCTTCCTGGAAGGAGGCATAAAAGACCACGCAAGCCCCCATCTAGATGTGTGGCCTTGGACAAATTCTGTTGTCTTAACTACGGTGACTCCAACATTCCAAAGTTTTGATGTCAGGATATTGAGATTTGATTTTCTTCCAACCATTGAAGTGTACCACCTAAAATAAAGGGGAACAGATGAACAAGCAGGCAGTTGAATGGCTGGTTTTAACAGAAAATTATGTATGGCAGAGAATAAAAAAGATACCGAAATGTGTGTTTCACTTGAGCACTGTCTTCAATTATGCGAGTAATAAAGGCCTCTTCACCTCCAAGACATACCATCTCCTCTGGAGTACCACCACAGGAAGTCTTCGGATTCAATCCTGCTTCCTCCATTGTCTCGAAAAATGGGGGGTTGCACATACAAAAGTCAAAACTTTCCCAATCCTTAATGACACCTACAAGAACAGGTGGTCCATGATAGCTCTTTTTGGCTGAATGGCTTCTGAGTGAAAATGATGGTGCGGGTCCCATGTCGACACTCTTTATATTGCTTGAATCTACGTAACTATTAATATTATCTTTCTGCCTGTTTTGCAATTCTTCTGCATCAAAGATCTTGATCTCAGTATCAACTCTTCTTATTTCAATCAATTCGGACACATGTGGGTTACCGTCGACATTTCTATTTGCCCACTCTATGGCTACATCAGTAACATCTGCAAACAATTGAAGCAGCATTAAAACAATATTATAAACACTAAAGAACATAAAGCCTGAATACTACCTGAGCCCACAAACGTCCAACCTAGAAGAGATGCACCAAGGAGAGGATATATGCAATTTGCACCAGTTCCAATATCAAAACCTTTGACAACACTGTTGCCCAGAGTGCATGGAATGAGATCTGAAGCCAAAAGATCTTCAATCCAATGAATGTAATTTAATCTGTTTGGGACTGTCGGGCAGAGCTGCCCATCGGGAATCCACCTATGATTTCAAATCATAATTTCTCATGTGCTAGAATATATTTCTACAAGGCAACCTATATTTCATGTTTAAGATAAAAGCGTTAACATAAGTCGGGAAAAGTTCAAATTCTAGCCATTCATCTCTAAGCAATGTAACTTTGTATTAAGAAACTTATAATGTACTCTATTCCACTCAACTAAGGTGCGTTTGATCGCAATTGTGGAAAATGGGTGGAAAGAAAATGAATTCCAAGGAAAGTAATTGTCTAAAATTTGTTTTGCACGGAATTGTTAATTAAGTGTGTTTGATTGGTATAATTTTCCACTCGAAAAATTTTTAAATTTTGTGTTCGTTTAGCTTTGTTTTACATGGAAATTCTCCATTAAAGTGATATTTTTTTCACAATTAGTTATAAAATTTGTTTCCATTGCCAAAAAATAAAAATAAAAACTAAAAAAAAAATTATTTCCTAAAAAATCATTTTTTTATCAAAGTTTAGCGTTCGTTTGGCTTTGTTTTACATGGAAATTGTCCATTAAAGTGAAACTTTTTTTTACAATTTGTTATGAAATTTGTTTCCATTGCAAATAAATAAATAAAAAAAAGGCAGTGAACTGGAAATTCAATTCACACCAACCAAGGCTCATGCGCCTTCTTTTCCATGATTTTTGGGGATTCCCTTTTCCATGATTTTTGGGGATTCGGGGAATCCCCAAAAATCATGGAAAAGAAGGCGCATGAGCCTTGGCCAAGAAAATCATTTCCCCTCCAAATTTTACTCATATGGTGGGAAAAGGAAATTAAATTCCAAGTTCCATGGAAAAAAAAATAAAAAATCAAACAGGCCCTAAAAGTATAAACACTGATAAGTGGACAAAAGAAAACGTAAAACTGAGCTTACTATCTAGCCCATGTTTGAGCCACATTAAAATTTTCATTATCATTCTTCTGCTCATTTTCAACAACACATTCTTCAATAAAATAATATTTTCCGTCACATCAATAACTTTTCCTCCTTTTTCAACCACACATTCTCCATCAATCTACTATTCCAAAATATATTCTTTCAAAATAACGTGACTCAAACACACCATATCTAAGCAAGAATCATTTTCAACCAAGCATTACCAAAAAAATTTCACTCCTTTTTAATTGTACATTCTCCTAAAATTAGGATTCAAAACTCATTTTTTCCAAATAATCAAACAGAAATTAGCTCACATAACTAAGCTAATTGCTACTAATTCAGTTGAAAAATTCAATGATCCGACACCAAATTCCCACAAAATTAAAATTGATGAAAGGAATATTGAATCAACAAAATCCTTTCATATTTGACACCGAAATAAAATGTATCTTTGCTAGATAAAAAATAAACAGCAAAAACAGAAATACTCCCATTATAATATAATTGCATATATTATTACCAATTGAGGCCATGATCGTGGAGGAGCAAGACCCGGGTCAGCTCGCGCGTAGCATTGAAGTCGGTCCAGTCGATTCTGGGGCGGCCACCGTGCGAGTAGAAAACGTAGGGCTCGAAGCTCGGGTACAAAGAGGCCAACAGACCGAAATCGGGTGGGTTTTCAGAGTACTTGTTTCGTGGGTGGATAACCGGCCTTTCTCCGCCTCTCTTCCTCTTCTTCTTGCTCGGCATCGCCGACGCTCTGTTTCGCCTCCGGCAGTCTTAAAATCGTGGTACAACGCCCTCTTTCTTTTAAGATGCAGCCTTTATTTTTAAAAAATACATTTTTTCTTGATTTAAATGTTTCATTATTAGCCACTGAACTTTCATACATGTCACGGTTTACTCACCCACCTTTAAAACTTATCCCACTGGCATTACTCATCCACCTTTAAAACTTATTCCACTGACCATTCAACTTTAAACTGTCCCACCCCGTTGGCCACTGGATCAAAATCGTTAATAACGTTGTCCACGTAACTGACGGTATAATGATGTGGCACATTAAATTGCTAATTAGATGACACGTCAAAGTCATATGTGCAAATGAGTTACTCACCGAACTTTGTCCATGTTACAGATTACTCACCAAGCTTTGTTCTATGTCACGATTTACTCATCGAACTTCCAAAATTGTCCCGTTGGCCACCAAACTTCACTCCATCCAACTCCATCACTCACCCAAATTAAGAAGGTGTTTAGTGGAGATTAAAATTAAAATTTTTTGGTAGATTATGATAGAAATTTTTGAAATATGCGATTGAAAAGTTGCGGGACTCATGAAAGATGTTATTGATATTGATTGTTTGACTTCAACTTATATTAAAATCTGTACCAAACATGCCCTAAATATAAGTTACAAATATAATAATGAAATTAAATTTTGTANTGTTAAATACTTCCAAATGGAATTTAATTGCCAAGTCAATCATCACTGTCAAACACACCTTTCATAATATAATTGAATCTCGCTTTGATTAAATATAACAAAATGAGTCTCTAACAATTTCTTTAAACAAACCAGAGAAAAATAAAATAAGAAAATCCTCAAATCTACTTCCAAGTACATTCAAAACCCTAACCCCCAAAATCAAGAATATCAATTACCTAAGAATAAGTTTTAAAAACTTTCATATTAACAATTTAAATTTCAGTTTTCATATTAACGGTTTTGATCCAGTGGCCAACGGAGTGGGACGATTTAAAATTGAGTGGCTAATGGTATAAGGTTTAAATGTGGGTGAGTAAATCGTGACATGTATGAAAGTTCGGTGATTAATGAAACATAACTCTTTTTTCTTTCTATTCTTCTCAAAGACACATTTTTCAATTTTTTTTTTTTATCTTTCAATCACACATTCTGCGTCAATTTGCTACTCGAAAATACATTTAAAAAGGAAAAAAAAAAAAGAGTTCGCGATCAAACAGGTTCTCACACACGATTTCAAAGAAATTTCAAAGTGGTAATTACATCAAACCAGAATTTTTAAGATGCAATTTCAAAAATCAAATATAAAGTTTATTTATACAAAAATCAGATATTAATTCAAATATTAAATATTATTAATGTCACCAAAATTCATCTTAATCCATAATTACCCTCCCTTCTCATTTCTCTCTCTCTTTCTCACGCATCCCCTCTCTTTCTCTCTACACACACACACACACACTCTCTCTCTCTCTCTCTCTCACACACACACACACACACACGCATCACTCTCTCCCCCGTCGTTGCGCCAATTTGCTCGTCTCATGAAAACGTCGTCGTCGTCGGTGTGAAGCGCCACCACCGTCATCGCAAGCCCATCACTCCGTAGCACCGCATCTTGATTTGCGCAACGCGGGGGCTATGTTGACCAGCAATGTCAAACCAATATTGTGGGTTGTGAATTGTAGTTTGTGGTGAGCGCCGGTGATGTTTGTAGCTTGTGGTTTCTGGCTATGAACATCGTTGCTGTGGTTTTCCAGCTAGGTTGTGTTGGTGCGGGTGGATTTGTTGTGGTTGTGTTGGTGCGGGTGGATTTTTTATGGTGTTTTTTTGGGGATGTGTTTGCACATCCGAGTGTTTTTTTGTTGGGGATGATCGTGGTGCATTCTGGCAATTGATGAGGTGGTATGATGGTGAATCTAACACTGTTAACGGTGTTGGTGTGGATCTGGCGATTGCAGTATTTTTGTTGGATTTAGTGGTGGTAGATCTAGCCATGACAGTGATAGTTTTGTAGTTAAAATGGTGGTCGATAGGTGGTGGTGCTGGAGGGAGTGGTGAGGTGGTGGTCAAGTGTTGGTTAAGGTCACAAATTATTTGATTGATTGTGACCATTAAATTGGTTAATCAGTGACCAATATACAATATGTGACCAATTAAAAAGATAAATTGTGACAAAAAAATAATGTGTGATCTAAAAAATTGTCAATTTATAACGATAATTTGAAAATTGTGACTCTAATAAATTGTGATTTATAATATTTATGATTTGTGACCGTTAAATAAATTGTGACGTATAAATTTTTTATGACTGTAAGATAATTTGTGATATAAAATTTATGATTGAAAAATTTTAACTGTCTGATTAGTTATGACTTATAATATTTGTGATTTATGAACGATAAATAAATTGTAGCGTATACATTTTTGATTTGTGACCGAAAAATAATTGTGACTAATTAAATCGCTAATTTGTGACCTTAATATATTTAATTAATTAAATCATAAATAAATTTTAATTAGTATCTAATTTTTGAAATTTGAAACATTTGTTCTTAATTTTGAAATAGATGATATTCAACCTCTTAATTATGAAATTTTTCCATTTTCAAATAGTATAAGGTGAAGTAATTGGGCCTAAGTTGGACTCCCTAACTTTGGGCTAAATAGAGCAATGGTCCAAATGATTACAGTTAAAACGGTCAACGAAAAGTCTTCAACCAATCCCAACCGTAAGATTTCCTCGAGAAATATCAATCTAAACGAGTGAAATAGTGAAAATAATGAAAAAATAACCCGGACCCCACAGTAAAGTTACGAACAGTTGATTCCAATATCAAATCCGCTTATGTCGCACTACTTTTCATTCGTATATATCCAACCTCAATACTCACCAACAAAATATCTATTACTCAAGAGAGAAAAAAGAATTAGGGTTTCAAAAGAATGGCTGAAGAGAGTGATAACGGCGGCGGTGTGAAAACAGGTATCGTTAAGTGGTTCAATGACCAAAAAGGCTTTGGATTCATCACTCCTGATGATGGTAGCGAGGATCTGTTCGTTCACCAGTCTGCTGTTAAAACTGAGGGATTTCGAAGCCTCGGTGACGGCGAGAATGTGGAGTTCGAAGTGGAGTACGGCAGCGATGGCCGGGCTAAGGCCGCCAACGTGACTGGACCTGGTGGTGCTCCTGTTCAGGGAAGCACCAGAGGTTATGGCGGAGGTGGAGGCGGAGGCGGTGGTGGAGGAGGCGGAGGTGGTGGAAGGGGCCGAAGGGATGGAGGCGGTGGTGGCTATGGTTATAACGGAGGCGGTGGTGGTTACGGGTACAACGAAGGCGGAGGAAGCCGTGGGGGAAGCCGTGGAGGCGGTGGATACGGTGGTGGCGGCTACGGCGGCGGTGGAGGCTACGGCGGCGGAGGTGGTGGTGGTAGTGGCTGTTTCAAGTGTGGTGAATCTGGACATATGGCTAGGGAATGTCCTCAGGGAGGTGGTGGTGGTGGTGGAGGCGGTGGAAGATATGGATCCGGTGGCGGTGTAGGTGGCGGAGGAAGCTGCTACAACTGCGGTGAAGGTGGTCACTTTGCCCGTGAATGCCCCAATGCCAACCGTTGAATAACTGGGTTTCTTCCATTATCTATATTCTGCTTTTGAGTCAAGTACTATGGTGTTTAGGCTTATGAACTGGTGATCCATGTAATAATTGCTTTGTTTTTGTTCTGGTTTTTGGGGTCTTCTATTATATGGTCACCTTCTCTATCTCTACCATTTAGGTTAGGGTTTTAATTTTAATTTTAATTTTCTGCACTGTTTGTCCCTTAATCGCATCGGCTTTACGTCTGTTTTATTTTTATTTTTATTTTTCATAAAATGTATACATGTATATGCCTATACATGTTACTATTTAATGAATGAACTATTGTCCATGTCGTAATCTTGGAATTGATTTGAATAATTGTTCTCATCTTTTTACTTTTCTTTTCATAAAGGTTGGCATTGGATTGGTTCTTGACCAAACGTACATATTGGACATCAATCAATCCATCCATCCAACGGTGGGAAATGTTTGAATGATTTGCTCCACAATCTTGTTTTCCAGGCATAAATAAGAATAGTAGAAGTTTATTATTTGATATATTAATGTGATAATTGTTTGTTTGCTCGAAATTTTCACCGTGAATAGCATTATCCAAATAAGTAAACGTTCGAGATTAACGTGGATGAGGAGCTTTGGACATGAAGTTTTAGGTCTTCCTAATGTCTTGAAGGAGGACTTGAGCACTAGAGTCGGAGTGCATACTGAAATTCTCTTAAAAGTATTCGAGGTTGTCTTTTGTTTGAATTGAATAGAAGGATACATCGAATCAGAGTGCATAGAAATCAAAAGATGCCTAACAACAATTGATCTCTCTGGGTAGAGTTGCACGTGTTTTTAACATACGGGTCTCGTTATCCAATGTGAATAATGACCAGTCAAAGTCTAAAGAATATTTTTCAGAGGAATATTTTAGTGCTTTGAAGTTCTTAGTGTCCCTAATTTTGGGGCTTTTGCCTGGTGGAAGAGGCTTTTAGTGGAAGCCTTTGTGAGTCATTTTTATCGAGAATTATTCAAAAAAGTAGCTCATAAGCAAAAGTTTTGCCAAACATTCTTGGAGTGAATTAGTAAATTGTTAATGCTTTGCAATACGTGTTGTTACTTTATTGATTCCTCGTTTATCGTACTTAAATCGAATGAATAGCAAATTTACTTTTACGAGTTATCTTGACAGTAATTTTAAAAGAGGTTGGATGAATATAAAATTTACTTTCAGGAGTTATGCTAATGACAACTTGCTAGTAATTGTATTGTTCCATGGAACACTGATGACAATGAATATCATTATTCTTGACTTCATTGTTTTATCCTTGCTTCATTTGTCGAATAACTCATAAATTCAATACTACAAATTTGTCTCATTCTCGCATGTGTAGTTTTTTTTCCCCTTCTCAAATCACATTACATTAATAAGAAAATGTTTAAACCGAGATGTTTAATATGCAATTGTTCATTTCCGTACATCAAAATCTAACAAAATAAAGCTCTAAACTAAATTGAACTCGAAAGGGGTCGCAGCAATGATAAATAGGTCAAAGGAAGTGGGGATGCGTGAGATTGGCTGTCGGCGGAGGCAAAGGTGCGGTAGCATTGAGGAGGTGCGATGGTGGTGATATTGGCAATTGAGGAAGACACTGATAGCACTTAGTGAAAAGTCCAAATGTATCAATCTGGTGTACAAAGTTTACCATGCTCGCCCATCCACCAAATCCGAAACCAACTATTAGCACCCACACAACAATAAAGATGTTGATTATGCAAGTCCCAACCCATCTCCCAAAGTATTTTGATGGTTGATTCACAGCATTCTGCATCAACACATTCAATCAAATGGTTAGTATATTGCATACTCGTGTACAAAAAACATAAATCGGTTTTCATTATTTGATTCGTTCCATTGTTAGATATACCCAAATATGTAAAGCATGAGCAGTACTCTAATTAGACCAAGGATCGCCTAATAAGAATAGTAGTATTCTACAAATGGGAATCTCGTCCTTGTGCACTATTTTCTTGTAAAGCAAGGACAGTACAGAGGATTCCAGCCCTCTCACCCCATTCCCACAAAAAAGGCCGACAGAAAAGTGTTGGTGACCTATTCTTCTTTGGAGGCTTCCTACTGACCATCAAATAATAAATAAAGATAAATAAATTAAAATCATGTTGATTACACTGTCAAGTCATATCTAATATCTTGTACTAAATTCAAGCAGCTTAAATATGATAAAAATGAATAACAATACAACATATGAGAGCTTGGGATACCTCTCTGGCATGGGCAGATCGGAAAGTGAAAATGTGAGCCAAAGCCGGGATAATGTAGACAGTGAAGCTAACAAGAAGTGATCCGACAGTCGAGTTGATAGGACCAAAGAATGGAAAGACAATTGCCAAGAACCATATAGGTATAACTACCGGCAACCTTGCAGCTGCCCGCTTGCACAAACTCTTACATTCGTGCATACCTATAGCCTTTTCCCACACGAAATACAACGGAGTGCATGCAAATCCAAAAGTGATAAACTGCAAAATCAACAAGCACATATTTTAGTACAAGTTCAAGAATCAAGTAACTTAATACACGATATTTGGTATCAAAACATGCTAGGCAGTCCACCTAAAAAACCTGCCAACACGACTCCTTTTACCCTTCGAACAAAGTAACAATTGACCCTAATTAAATTTGAGAATGAAATATCTTAGGCATGCCTGATGGATGAGCATCAAAACTACAGCCATGTCCCTGAAGGGTGATCTTGGGAGAATAGAAAATGCATTGGAGTGATTCAGAAGCATATCTCCAAATGCCCAGTACACTGCTGCTGCAGACGGAAGCGTCAATGTCAGCACATAAATAGTTGCCAGTAAGTAAATGGCCTTGAACTTTTGTGGCTTCCACATTGCGTGCATTATCTCTCTGTCCAACACAACCAAATTTAAAACCCCCAATTAATTCTGCATCAACACACTGCTCAAACTAATCAATTTAACATTCAACAATTTTGTGCCCTGCACAGAATTGGACAATTTTAATAGGTTAGTCGAGAGTGAGATTCGTCCTCTTTTAAGTCCGTTTATCTTAACTTCTTAGGCTTGAAGTGTGATTTTGGAAAAAAAGATTTAAGGGTGCCACAAAAATTAATTATTGATAAAAAGAGCTGGAGCCCGCTTCACTATTTATCTCATTACGTAAAGCAAAATTGCAGAGTGGTTGGAAAAAGACTTGGCTTTTCTATACCTGAAAAAGGAAGAAGAGGGTTTCCAAGAAAGTATTCTTGGCACTCCTTCGAGGGGCACTATCGAGAAAATATCAAGTTCTTCGAAAAAGGACTGGTCACTAAATAAATACTGGGAACAGTCAGATTTATGTCGAGGTTAAGCCAAGGTTAAGTCCCTTTCATTTCTAAATGACATCAAGACAATTTATATAGGAAATTACTGTTCTACCCAGGTAGATAAAGACCTCAAACTTATGTCCAATTGCGTAAAATTTAAGGTAAAAGACACAAATATAATATAAGAGGATGTCGTACACAGTAACGGCATGTCCCCCAAATGTGTAGAGAATGTTTGTGGCTCCTGTGAAATATAGCACCAACTTGGTTGGTCCCGAATGCATCACACCCTCCACCTATTATTAATTAATAAATAAGATCTCAATTACAAAAAACTTGACTAACGGAGATAGACGAAATGACTGGACAATTAGTTACCTGTCCGTGTAATAGGGACGCAACAGTGAGGTACCAGGCGGTGTACGTTGTCATTAACAAGCCGAGGAACGACCAAATTCGGTAGTTGTGGAAAGAAGGTATGAATACAGTAGTTGCACAACACGCTCCAAAGATGTAAGTCCAAGTTCTTTTGTCCAAATTGTCATTTATGTAATATATGTTACTGAAATCACAAAGAAAATGTTAGTTTTTTGTGCCTTATTTATGCATCAATAGACTAATTATATATACCTTGCACAAGCTATCAGTTGAATCACAGATCCGAACAGAAGAAAAGTGCAGTTAAATGCCAATCCTACATTCCTCCAGTACTTTCCAAGAAGCCCATCAAGAACTTCGAACCACTGTATCAACGTGTTTGATATACAGCATTAGATCGGATCGATCGAGACAATGTAATAACAACATAAAAACTGAGAAAATGAAAAACCTGAATAACATGATTTCTAAAATCAACTTTTTCTCTTTCTTTTCTGGTTCTGTACTCTACATAGAGAACACTAATAATGTATGCAGTCCAACTGCCCATTAAACCATAAAAGAGCTGAAAAAGAATCCCAGAGAGCATTCCCAGCTGAGAAAATGAGTATGGTAAAGTGAGCAGCACTTGAGCCACCTGAAAATGTAAAAGAATATCAGATTACTTGTGGGATGGAGTTTCACAAGTATGCGTCCAGGATCTTTTAATGGCATTCGACCACTAACATTTGAGTGACCCAAACGATTGGCTTAAGTGTTCCCCAACGAAAGTGGTGTATAAATTCACTGTGAATAGGACTGAGGACATACCTGATTTGAAGCACAGCTAAACCAGGCATCATAAACAGAGCCACCATGCCAAAAGAAGTCGGAGACTTTAGACTTAATATCTTTAGACTTCCCTTCAGTTTCCATTTCTACATAATTTCCTACTATCGCAGTCTCTACTACCTTTTCTGAGGATGCCATTTTGTATATAGGTTTCAGTTCAGTGCAAAATCAATGGAACATGAACTTTAGNAGGAGAGGAGAATGGAATTTGGAAAGAGCTTCGACATATGTGAATACCGGCTTGGTTTTCGTGCATAAACTTTGTTCCTTGATTATTACATCTTTTCTTTTCTAGTAAATAAATAAATTAAAAATAATTGCTTGCTTAATTTTTTAAACAATAATTATACAAGCGTGAAGATTTGTCCACACGTGCGAATTCTCCACTTCCAAGACAAATGTATAATATCTAATTAATTTATTTATTCCTAAGCTAATCTCTCGTTTCTTGATTATTTTTTCCTCTACCAAAACCCGTCTGGCACTTCATTCGTTTAAACATTGGTCTAATCCCCTTGAATCCGTCTTAAATTAGGTTAGTTTTGCTTAAATGGAGCTCGTTTCAATTTTAATTAAAAGAAAAACCGTTTAAATATTATTTATCCAACCAGTATTTTACGTTACATTGTGCTATAGATGTAAGCTTTATTCTCGTAACTAGAGCTTAGAGTTCAGTATATCTCCGAAGCACTCCATAATTTTAATCGTATTTATTATAAGCTAATGAGTGTTCATGTGAATTGCACTATGTTATAACTCTAAAATGGGAGATGAAAGGTATCAAAATTTTGGCATAGGTCCAAATACATAAATTATAAAACTTAAAGAAATAGAATATCACGCCAGCTTATTACAAGTATGTGTACTATTGAGAAGAATAAGGCTGTCGAAGGGAGACAAAGGATTTAGGAATTATGAGAAATTAAGTAGACCACATGATTATAGCAAACGGGCGTGTTACCTTTATTTATGTATAGAAAAAAGTTTAATTCTTGAAAGTGTAATTTACATTGATTTATGGGTAACTATACCACCACAAAATTTAATTAAAATATATTTTCAACAAATACACCACAACAGATTTACAGTTATACTTCTAATACAATAAAAACTAAAATTGAAAAAAGATATATATAATATTGTAGTGTACTCGTCCTTCCAATATTATTTCTCGCATAATTAACCTTGATTTATTTTGTGGGCACATTCGAGAATTATTCAGAAGCCCTACTTTGAGAGTTTTTAGATTATGTGCCACCTTTCTTTACTGACATTGTGTTAAATATCTAGAAATTGATTTTTTTTTTTTTTTTTAGTTATTAAAAATTTCGTGATGACAGGCCAACGTACGTAGCTCAAATACTGAGAATATAATATAATAAATTTGTGCTTTTAGACATTTGTGTTTGTGTTTTGGTTCAGAGTTGCTTAGGGACAAAGACTGCGATTTTATTCCTAACACAGATAGGAAAAAAGAAGAGAAAAAAATTATTTAATTTAAAATACTTAGATTAATCATTTGTAATTCCCTTTTAACTCCAAATACGGCCCTTTAATTTCTTTGCTTTTATTCTTTTTCCAAATTTTCAGTTGATTTTGTGAGGGAGACGTCATAATCGATGTCATGCTACTATATAGACAAAGCAACAAAAATTTGTCTCACTTTTTTGCCAAATTTTCTCTCTATTTCTCCAGCTTACCGACCTCTACTTCAATTTGTTTCAAGGAAAAAACGATGTTTTACTAGTTGAATACATGACGAATAATTGAAAAAATAATTTACGTATGAAAGCTATTTACCCTATATGATGAAATGTAGTATTTATTCTTGTATATGTCGATATCCTTTCATTATCTCACTTTTCTCCTCTTAGAATCAGTTCCTCCCTTGCTATGAGTTCTCCTTCCGACTTAGGCACTATCGATCAACACTTCAACCACTCAGCTAATAATTTCATTCTCAATGGTGCCAAAATCTCTCAATGATCCATTTACAAAACCCAATGATTTTGTTTAATAAAAAGAACATATATTATTGTAAAAGCATGCTCAAGAACAACATATTCATGGGATTTGAAGACAACTCAACAACTCCTTGTTATTTCAAGCACTGGGGACCAAAAACAACCCCCTGAATTCTTTGTCCCCTTTGACTACCTGCCTTAATTTCCCATACTCTAATTATCTTGTCCAAGTAAAAATTATTGATACTTTCTAAGGTTTTTGAGGCGTGATTTAGTAACTTTAAATGATTTTAGTAAGTGTTTGATCCACCCATTTTAACACGGACAATTGACATACATCTGATCACGTTCACTTGCATTTCACTATATCGTATGCAGTATGAGACATGTATCGTTAAATATTCCGAACAAACATCATTAAATTTCTTTATATTTTTAGAATAATAAAAGTTTCTTTGATGGGTCAATATTTTTGGTGACAAACTTTACCTGCAGGGGCTTTATGAGTTGAATCGAATAAATAGTATTTTTTTTTCTTTTTGCATGCTGTGAAATCAGTATGATTTATGAACACACTAGAGTATTAAAATGTAGGTCCATTAGTAAAATGAAGTGCACCAATTGATATATGGTCAATTGCCCAAAATTATTCTGATGATTTATTAACACACTAGAGTAGTACAATGTAGGTCCAATGGTATAATGAAGTGCACCAATTGATTTATGGTCAACTGCCCAAAAATTATTCATGCAGAATAATTAAGTGGAAATCATATATTCAAAATCAATATGATGAAGAATTGGATTCTTGGCTTGTTTGGTGGGAGGCCTAATTAGTTTAAATAAGAAGATAGTTGTACCAAGTCATGAATGTGGTATGTACAATTTAATTGAAACTAGACATGTCCGGTTGGGTACCATTCTAAAAAGGTAATAACTCATGTTCTATGTTCTCTTTAATTGTTCAACATTCTCGTCCACACATGTAAACAATTTGAGTATGACTAAGTGAACGAAACTATCAATCGTCATGAAATTGCTACAAATCTGAAATCGCAAACTCACGTTAGAAAGTGGCATACAACTTATGATGATTAAAACTCACGTTAGAAGAGTTTGGAACGTATAATCTACATTCAACAATTATTCAATGAGAATCAATCCAACAACCCGTACCAATGGAGAAACACTCTGTTAACCGTATGAAACTAAACGCTACTAATTTGGAATGGATTTGAATTTGAATTTGGACTTGGGGAATTTTAATGAATAGCAACTCTTAAAAAATAATATCGAAAGTAACCAAGTTAATTCTCAAATGAATGGATGGCCTAATGATATCACAACCAATAGAAGTAAGACCATGTTTGGCAAAACTTTTATTAAATTATAAGTTGTGAATTTTATGGTGTCTACATAATAAAATGGAAAATATAAGTAAAATATGTGGGACTTATAGATTATGTGGACAAAATGAAGTTTCTTTAGCTTATAACCAATTATAATATTTACCAAACATGTACTTAATTCAAAGTGCTTAACAATATTATAATTCAATATGTAGCATTTTAAATTAAAGAAATATGTTTTTGTTTTTGGAAAAAAAAAACAAAAACTTTGTATCGGATTAGTCTCTTGTCAAACATTAAAAATTATTAAAAGTTAAATTCTTATTCAATCAAAATTAAATATTAATTTGTCCAACTTATCAGGTCATCCCAATTTCAAGCCCGAATATTACAATTTATTTCAATCAGAAAAGGGATACGAGACTGGAGAAGCAAACAGTTTTAACATCGACAACAGTGCGGAGGTTGGTGATATGTTGGGATTTTTAATTAATTTGAGGGTTGAACTAACGGCTCAAAAGACTATAAAAGGGCGGATCACACGACAAGAGGAGTTCCAAATTTTGATCGGTGGTGGTGTTGCTCACCATTCTATTCAACTTTGCCGGGTTCATGTCAATGTCACGCGACAAAGTTATGGAGTTTTAATGGACATTATATTAGTGACATTGGGTCCACCAACTTCCTCAGACCAAGAGACGTTATTTTAACATCACCGATGACTGGAATACTTGCAGAGAAAATTGTGTGGATATATGATGAATTGATCGGACAAGGTGGATTTCGAGGGGGATAATGATGAGTCAGATAAGTCATATAGTTTGAGTTGGTTTGGGGGAGGGGATGCAAATAAATGGGAAGGGGAGGGGAAATAGCGATGGATTCAATCATTCATGTATTGAGAGTTACAGGGCCTCTCTCGAATGCCTTGGAGATTGTCTTTCATATTGCTTTTCATCTGAAATAATATTACAGAAACTTGCTTCAATTACAGTTTGCATACGTAATCTACTATCATCCTGTATATACACATCTACTCATAATACACAATTACTCAATCTTTGCTTTCCGGTGATTCCACAGAACCATCGGGTTACCAGCAAGAGTCAGATTAGATTCAGCAGTGAAGCAACAGCCTCATAACACTGCAGCAGTTCCAGGTTCCTATCACTGTCCTTCCACCACCCCAGTTTGCCACTCCTTCAAGAGAGTGTCAACAACGTTACCGCCCGAAGGTTTTGAAAATTATTCTGTTAGGCACATCTCATAACTCCCGTAAGGATGTAATGCTATCCAAAGCATAATTCCATTGATCTAAGGGTGTGAAAAACCTTCTCTCAACACTGCTTCCAAGTATTTGGCCTGCAAATCAGTAACAAAATGATTCAGCATTGACTTGAATGCAAATCTATTGTCTGAGCAATTCTATGTCACTTTGAGAACAAAGGCCATCAACTGTTTCTTTTCTGACCTGTGTTTCTTGATCTAGTCTTTTGCTGATATCCACCTCTGTGAGCCAAATGGGAAGTCCTAGGGTAGCCAATTTGTCTAGCACTGCCCTGATTAGAGGGGGATTTGGTACAGTAAAATAACCCTCGTGGCCAATTCCATCCATTGACACTCCACCTTTCTCAAGTTCCCTAACCTTTAAATGCAAGAATCGACTGTAACCAATTTGTCTAGCACTTGTCTGATTAGAGGGGGATTAGGTACAGTAAAATAGCCCTCGTGTCGTGGCCAATTCCATCCATTGACACTCCACCTTTCTCAAGTTCCCTAACCTTTAAATGTAAGCATCGACTGTAGATTTCTGATAATCGCAAGTCTCTTACACATTGAATTTGTGCACAAACAGCCTTAAAAGTGGGTCTGATTTTTGGGCTGTTTCGAAAATTCGAAGGCTAGCGTTGGGACCAAGTATTTGTTGGTAGAAATCGTTGAATTTTGGACCTCATCCTCCAAATGAGTATTTGTGTGTTCAAAATTTGTGAGTTTATTTCATCAATAAAATCGTTGAATTTTGATCCGTCTTAAGTTCCGAAAGTTTTCAATTTCTCGAACTTTCCAAATGTTGAATTTCACTTCCCAGAATTTCCTTCGATTGCTCTCATAATATTTCTTATTAATCACGTGTGATCCTATTGATCATCAAATCAACGTTGATTAGGCTCATAACTGCCTCTTTTTGCGCCAATTGCATCCAAGCCGGGGATTTTCCTACGATGAATATATTTACACTAAATTAATCAGATATCCACTCAATTAGCAGTAATCTATCAAGTTTATAAATCCGGATAAACATGTAAAACGCATTTATCGAGTCCCAAGAACAAAATGAATAGATGTGTTTCCATAATCTCTACTTAAACATAAGATTTCTAACCGCAGCCAAGTAGAAACCTGCCAGTACTAATTGTTGGTAGTAAAACGTTGAATAAATATATTCGCCAATAATTTTACGAATAAAGCGAGTGAACATGGGCATTTGATAGGATTGGGTGGCAGGTGCTGCGTGTCAGCAACTGTGGATCTTTTTTTTTCAAGCTGTTCAGTGAATTTTTGACACGTGTCCCCTATTTTGAAATCGTGTCATTGACTCTGTATAGCAAGATTCTAATTTTACAGTTCAGAGAGAAACAAATCTGGATGACAGGGGGAGACAACGTGTTGTATTTATAAATAACTCTGTGATTAAGTCAAATGTTTTGCTAAGAGATAAGCTAATGAAACTGAAACAAAAGACATTTCCACGTTTTTACCTCTTATTTTTAAATTGTTCTTGACAAGTTTGAAATGTATGGAGAATTGTTTATTGAACATTATTTTTCTAAGAGCTGTCTTTGCTGTGTTTTGGTTTTGGAATTTTTCCGTTCTTCCGTGTTTCTGAATTATCAATTTCCACCTTTTATTCCGTCTAAATTTAAATAAACAAACGTGTGCATTAAGTAAAAGGGTTCAACCTGTATCAAAACAGCTAAAGGTACTGTATTCAATTCTTATGATAATTGTGCTCCCGAATTGTTTAATGAAAACCTGAACCTACCTTCACTAAACATGAAGGGTGATTTGCACACGAGGGGACATGATGGTACTAAATTTAAACAAATCTGTTGGGAATAAACAGCCTAATGCGGACATCAATGCACAGCTAAATATAGTTCTAAGCTCATTAAACAAATGTCATAGTTCTAACAGCTCAAACTATCAATGACAGTTCAATAATCAATCTCTGAAATTGGCATTAACAATATGGTAATCAAACTATACCAATGGCAATCAAACTTTTCCCATAGCATTAAGAGAATATGCATAAACCCTAGGAACTGAAATCAGAACTTATGCTTAACAGAAATAAAAGGCAGACAAAAATTAAACCATAAAGAACAGAGCTACACTTCTCTGCCACCATGCTTCTCCTCCTTCGCAGGTTGTTCTTCCTTCTCATGACTGTACCAGTTAGGCTCAGGAACAGCCCCTTCCACGCCTTGCAATCGCTGTCCAGAGAGAGATCAAGAACCAACCAAACCTCCTTCAACCTTGGCTTGGATCATCGACCAAACCGGTCTACCACAACCGCCAAGAATCTGCCCTAGACTGACCAAACAACCACCGAGAAACACCAACACCACTTAGCCACTATTTCAGGCCTAAGTATACAAGGGTTTCTTCAATTAGATAGGCTAAGGATCAATTTAGGGCACACACATGAAGAGGAAGAAAAACGGGCAGAACACTGAGAGAAAAACGGGAGTGAAGAGTAGTATCTCCTGGAAGCTAACCCACGTGAATATAGGTTCAAAACCAAGAAAATATCTAAGTAGATTTAATCCCAACCATCCATATGATCCAAGGGTCAAAATAGAAGCCGGCTCAACAAAGTGTTAAAGAGAACCACTTAGAGAGCCCAATAAGCCCACAAAATCAAAGTTTGTCATCTTTAAACTTGGTAAAGTGGTTCAACAAATAGTGTAATGGCTCTGCTCATATATACTTCTTTTTCTTTTTTCCCTTCAACAAAACGAAGTTGCCGTTAGTTTAATGGAGAGGGGTCCATTCTGACAAGTCAAGAAAACCAGTCTTTTTGGCTCTAATGTTTGAGATTTATGGTACATGTGCTTTGTCTTGCTCATAATTTTGACTATGAAACTGATAGTATTATATAGGAATTTCAACTTCTTTTTCCTGTAAGCATACAGAAAAGCCAGCCATTAATGCAGATGTAATAATCCTTACTGAAATAGCCTGTAATTTGTAGAGTTATACTGATTCAAAATAATTATTATGCAGAACTGAAGAACGAGGGTGCCGTGGTGACAATGGTTCTTGTTTGATTCTGCAAACGTGTAAGAGTAGAAACCAGACAACATGTTGATAAATTGAGAAATCAGCAGTCACCATGTAGTCTAGTTTACTCTGTCACGAGCCTAGCTAGCTGGTATGAGTGCAGATCCTTCTAAAATAAATAATTTTAAGTTGCTAGTAAGCACCAAGGGTACATTTTCATATTGGTCGCAATTCTCAAGTTGTTCGATTAAATTTGTCACATTTCTAGTTAGGGTATAACGATAAAGATACCATGGGAGTCTAGATGGTCGTGCCGAAATACAAAAGCTAAAAGCTTGACTAAGCTGCCGATATATATTAGAATGAATGCATTAATAGGTAGAATTTCATTCTGTATCATCACACAATAATTCTTCTAATGTTCTACATTGTCAACCAGATAGATACTTCATTGCAGTAATTTTCTTACAAATCACTTGTGTTGTTACAATTGAATGTTAAAATTCCTGGTTTCTTCACCTTGACTAACAGAGAGTGTTGATTTCACTATTTTGTTGCCATACTTAGCTGTAATCTTGTATTCGCCCAAGAAACCGGAGAAGCTGTATGAACCATACTCGTCCGTTTTGCCTTCCAAAATCCCGGTTTGCCACTCTTTTAGGAGCTTGTCAACGGTGTCACCAGCCGGCAGATTATTTAAGTCATTATCGGTGAGGCACATTTGATAACAACTGTTCTGGCGGAGGGCTGTCCAGAGTATTATCCCATTGACAGCAGGATGTGAAAAGCCTTCTCTTAAAACTTCTTCTAGATAAATAGCCTGTCCAAAAAAACAATGATGTAACTTATAAATTTTGAATTTCGGACAGCATATGATGCCAAGTAAAAGAATAAAATTATCGACTATGCAAGAGAGATGCGTAAACCGGGCAGTGTGGCCAGTTTTTTAGCTGGTATGCCTAAAATTATCCAAGCCAATATGGTTATGTTCTCTAACCTGACTTTCCTTACTGAATTGTTTGCTGATATCAACTTCTGTTAACCAAATTGGAAGGCCAAGAGTGGCCAATTTGTCAAGGATAGCCCTCATTAGAGGAGGGTTTGGCACATCGAAATGACCCTGAAGTCCAATTCCATCCATTGTTACACCCCCTCGCTTTAGCTCTATCATTCTTGATATGTAGGTGTCCACCGTGGAATTAACATCATCGCAAGTTTCCACCACATTATATTCATTCATGAAAAGTGTGGCTAATGGATCTATTTGATGTGCCTTCTCGAAAAACTGCAGGGTGGCGTTCGGTCCAAGCCTTTTCTCGTAAAAGTCGAAATGAAGCATTTCATTACTAACATCCCAGTGAATAAATTCTTCTTTGTATCTGCTCATAAGACTTTCTATTCTGGAGGTGACAGCTGATTGAAGATCAGGGCTTGTTAGATTAAGAATCCATTGTGGTGATGACTCGGGATTCTCCCAGAAGATATTGTGGCCTCTAGTAATAATTTGATTTGCTCGAACAAATTCGAGCATCTGGTCAGGTATCGTGTAGTTGACTTGCCCTGGCTTGGGTTCTGTTGCATCCCACTTGAGCTCGTTTTCAAAAACTGCTGCATTGAATCTTTCTGTAAACCATTTCTGAAACAGTAAGAGAATTAATTTGATCAGCTTGCAAGAGTAGTTGTAATGCACCTACCGGATTTTGATTGAGTGACCAAACTGAATGAAGCAACCTTCAGTGGGCACTTTGGAACAAATAAAGTTTGGTGACACCAAGGTGAAACCTTGCTATAAATTTAGTGACTACCAGTGTTTATACGAACAATACAGACCTGGAAGCGTGAATTTCCGATTATAGTCTTCGCTATAGCAGATCCAAATGGGAAATCTTTTGAAACTTGTTCTACCGTAATTTCCGCCTCTTGCAATTTGGCTCCGTGCCTGTCCGAGACATGGATAATAACTGCACGCTTCCTTTCCTGAATCATATAAGAAGCATTATGTCAGAGGTTTCAAGGTAAAAATGTTTCTTTAGAGATTCTCCGCGGATTGATGGTAGATTGGGGAAATTCTAGTAATCTTATTCGTAAATTCTAGATTATGTAAGTTTATGCTCTTTAATATTGAATACTTGTCTACCTTGTAGATTTTAGTCTGCTGATTCAACCCCCATTGCTCCTTGGTGAATGGCTGCAGAGAAGCACTTGCAATCTCCATTTCAATATCTCTACCAGCTGAATCCTGTTAAACCAAAGAGCAAGTAGTTCAGATGAAAAGGTAAGTCGACTGCTTTTAGCTTGAATCTCTATTTCTTTCCTAATTATACTCCTACTAAAAAGCTAATGAATACCTGAAGATTTAGCTTAGAAAATTTTGATGATGATGTCAATACAAATCCACCCTTGAGAAATGACCAGCAACCTTGCTTGGCAATAACAGTTCCAATGCAACTCAGGTTAGTTTCTTCCATCACGAGACTAGCCCTCACGAGAGATGAATCTGCATTCTTTATTTTGATCCAAACTGTTTTCATTCAAAAGTAGCTTAGTTATTTAAGTAATTCTGATTTGTACTTGTACGAGTCTCTGCTCATACCTTAAAAAAATTTGACTTTCAATGAAACCAAACAAGGTAAAACTATACCTGAAAAACAGTATCTGTTGCCCTCAGTGAGGTTTTGCAATAAAAATGTAGGGTGAGAAACTTGACCTCCATTACCCAGAATACTTCGTAGGAAATTTGGAACATGATCTTTGAGGATACCACCATTGTAAAGTGGCTCCTCAGGGTGCTGTTTACACTGGACAGTATTAGGACAGAAAAAGAAAGTTAAATCTTTGTTCACTAAATGGTATATATTGATCGAAAGAAGACTGACCAGCTTTTCCACTTACTTGCGTATAAGCAGAAGAGTCGTAAAGTGGCCCGTCTACAATAAAAACGTAGAAAATGAAAAGAAAATTCTAAAACGAAGCCACATAGAGAGAAAGGGGAGAGAGTACCATAACACAAAACCAGGGAATTGCTGAAGAAGAGGAGCAAAGATAGAGAACAAAAGAATGTAAGGTACTGCATGCTCTTTGATTATCTGCTTAAAATTCTGAGTTGCAGAAACACCCGATTCGATTTAAATGCAGCCACACACAAGAGTTAAAGAGTTAGTGTCCACAAAACCTAGGCAGAGCTCAAAGAGTGTGGCATCACAAGAGAAATAGTAGGGTGTTTCTAAGAAAAACCGTGCCTATTCACATGCTGATATGGGCTTCTTCCATAGTTTATATAGAAGATATTGCAGCAACTTTTTCTGTATAATCTCACTTTGATTTCTTCCAGAAGTCATTGATCAGAAATTTACTGGATGTAAATTAAATTTGTACCTTTATTAATTTTCACACGTGACGTACTGCCAGGTTGATTTAACATTAACAAAATCCCCAAATATTACAAGCATAAAGTAATGGTCATGAATTTAAGGATGTTTGGCTAAGCCTAACAATAAGTAAAGAAAAAGTAAGATTTTGTGCTGAATTAAATTTTTTAAGAAACCTCAGACATTGCTGGCACAGAGAGTTAATAAGTAACTTTGAAGCTTAGCCAAACATGTTCTCTTTATTAAGTAATATAAAAAATGTCAAAAATGTAGGAATAATTAATTTGAAAATGTCTAAAAGATGCATTAACACTTTTCTGTTTTCATTTGCAATAGTACGTCACTTTTTCAGTTGCAATCGTAACCGATGAAGCCTAATCCCAAAACTTGGATCAATTCATTCCCGTGACTGCATGAACATAGTCAAGAATGTACCTTTTATGGCATGTGAATTGGCATCTGCACGACAAGATTCATTCTGTTCCAACTTGAATTATTTATTTTTTTGGAAATTAAATCGAGTTTTGTTGATGACGTCTTTTATTATTTTTGTGTTTANTTGGAAATTAAATCGAGTTTTGTTGTTTTGTTGATGACGTCTTTTATTATTTTTGTGTTTACTCTTATACGTAGGTCGATAATCTAATTGTGTCGTTCTTATTAAATACATTGACACCGTTGATATCTTATACTACATATCAAACGTACACTAAGACCCTATTTGATTACACTTCAATTACATGAAAGCTGAAAATTAAATTCCATTTTCCACATTTTTGCATGTTTGATTGTCCAAATTTTTCATGAAATTAGTCTTCCATCTTTCACCCACATGCTCACATTTTCTTGGTTTTTGAGGAAAAGCTTTTCCCACTTTTTTAGGCAACTCTTTATTTTATTTTTTGGCAATAAAAACAAATTATATTCCCAATTGTAACAAATTATATCATTTTAATGGACATTTTTTATGGAAAACAAAGTCAAACGAACACCAAAAGTTCCAAATTTTCAATATTTTTCAAGTTGAAAATTATACTAATCAAACATAATTAATTGACAATTTCCAGTAAAATAAGTTCTAGGCAATTAAATTCCCTGGAATTCATTTTCCTTCCACTCAAACTTCATTCTTACAATCAAACGGGCCCTAAGAGTGATACGGGAATAAGAGTGCCATCCTAGTATTGGCTTCATTTCTGAAGGTTGGGCTGCAAATTTTGTATAAGAGATCAGGGGTATTGCTAGTTTAGTTAAGCCTGGGGGAGAAGCATTTATGAATTATTCGCACGCCTAGTTCACAGCTGCACGAAATAAGAAATTGAAGTGAAAATTTTAAGAAAATAATTTTTGGAATCCACCAAATTATGAAAAAATAAATTCACGAAATTTTATTAATGTAAGATATCAAAAATGATGAATTAATCGTTTATTTATAAGAGTTTACATAAAAATCTAGTTTAAACAAACTAAAATTGCAAATAATTCGAAATAAACTAAATGACAAAAAATAGTTTTTGACTCCCAAACGAACTTGAATTTCTAAAATCCATCATATATTATAGCAAAGTGGTGAGTTCTACTCATCTTGTCGTTTTCTTTCCGGAATGGTATTATAGGTCCTATCAAAGCTCAGACGTCACACCTACACTATTACCTTTTTTTCTTTTTCGATCCAATTATATTTTCAATTCATTCGGTCATTTGTTCTACATCAATTTGTGAATCTAACATTGGTGGCTGGCTAAGAATCGAGAGTGAAATTTTCATCACATGCACCACTAGAAGTAGGGGTATCAATGAGTCGAGTCGAAACTTGAAGCTCGAGCTTTCAGCTCGAATAAAAATGGTTTGATCTTTTTTTTTTGCCCGAGCTGAGCAAAAGCTCAACCAAAAAATTTCGGCTCGACCCGAACTTTCGGCTTGAGCCTTAGCGAGCTGGCTAAATTCGTTATAAATCTAAATTTTTTTATTAATGAATAAGTATTATAAAAACTATATAAAAAATACAGTTAAAATTAAAAAAAAAAAACCGCAGGCGGCTGTATTTTTAAAATTTTTTTTTTAGACTCGAGTTGGCCCGTGACACGAGTAGGTGACAAACCACAGGCAAGCTCGGGCTTGAGCCGATGCCCCGAAATGGGGCTCGGCCCAAGCCTCGACTCAATCCCACCGAGTCACGAGCCGCTCGAGCCGGCAAGTCATATTGATATCTCTTACTAGAAGACACTAACGGCCTGTTTGATAGCTCGAAATTTTTTAAGGAAGTTGGAATTCGTTTTCCATTTTCCACTTTCCACTTTTAGGCTGTTTGGTAGGCTAAATTTCATAAAATTTATTTTCCACCCTTACCTCATTTTCCAACTAATTCTTGGTTTTCAAGACTACTTTTTTCCATTTTTTTTTTTTTGGCAATTGAAATGAATTTTATTCTCAATTGTAACAAATTATATCCATTTAATTGGCAATTTCCATGAAAAATAAAGTCAAACGATGGTATTCGGTATAGTAATTTTATTTTATTTTTAATTTTTAATTTTTTAGCAATTGGAACAAATTCTAGACCTAATGGTAAAAAAAATTATCTCTTTAATGGATAATTTTCATGAAAAATAAAGTCAAACTGACACCAAACTTTCAACATTTTTTAAGTGAAAAATTATATCAGTCAAATACAAGTAATTACAATTCTCAGTAAAACAAATTTTAGGCAATTGAATTTTCTGTAATTCATTTTATTTCCACTCAAATTCCACATTTGCAATCAAACGAACCCTGAGTGTTTGTTTGAGCCCTATTTTCGGTGTAAAATGCATTTTAGAATAGTAAATTGTTGTAGAATGTGAGGTTAAAAAATAAAAAAAAAATTGAATTTGCGTGTAATATTATTTTATTAAAAAATGTATGATTGAAAAAAATGGGAATCAAACAATTGTTAAATCTTGAACAATATCATACCTAAAATAATGTTATGTTCTCTAATTGCATTCAACACGAACAACGTGTTAAAAAATTAGAATAATGTTATGTAACCCTAATGGGATTGCAACTCGAGTGTAGGTGACTCTAGATTAGGATTGCAACTCCAATATGGCTAAATAACATTACTCAACAAATTAATATTCACGACTCCTCTTTAACAACATCAACTTTTACACTTGACAAATGTTAAAAAGTCATCTGAGATTGAAAAGCAAAGTTGTCTTAGCTAATGGGCCGTTGACTGCAAAGAGAATTTAATTCGGGTATTCCGTCAAACAGCAAGTCTTTCTGAGGTAACAAGGAGCGGTAAGGTCGTAAGGAACATTTCGTCGGTGCACCCAGTTATTCAATAAGGATCCAAACCACTTTCGTGTGGCCCGGCCCAGTTGTTACTCCACTAGGGTGGAGCTGACACTCAAAACAATTTCAACTTCGACTCCTTTCCTATAAAAATTCTACCACAAGAAACTCAACTCAATTCAACTCATCGTCCATTTCTTTGAAGGGGTCTCAATTGAGGAATCACCATGTGGTTGAGTGGAAAATCTACCAGATATTGCAACCTTTTTCAAGGAAATCAAGTTCACCTAAATATAAAATGATGAAGTTCATTAGTTGATCAATCATCATCGTCCTCACAAACACCACATACACACAATATTCCATCATGCGTCCCAACATGCGTGGGAATGTCTGGTTTAAAGAACTTGATGAAGTAACGTTCACCAATTTAGACGGTTGTGGATCATTTGTTTCATAACCCAATTCATTAAAATGTATCACGATTATATCAAATAATTAATGAGGGACTAATTATGTTTTTGTTCCCTTTTTGGCACCACTTGTATAGATTTTCGTAAACAAAAACACCCAAAAAATCAAGGTAATTTAATTCCCTACTTTCCAAATTAGGAAAAAAAAATACACGCGCGCACACACACACTCTCACACACAAAAGATCTTCAATCCGAAGGCATCATACAATTTAGAAAAATGATAGATGTCATTGATGCTTAAATAACGATAAATATGTCTTGTCACATTCAATCGCCTTCTAGTCTTCTAATGCTAAGGCTAAATCTATGTTGTATTCAATCGCCTCCAGATCTTGTAATGCTAAAAATAGTAGAGTACTAAGAAAACACAAATACAAAATTGACACACACCAAGTAATTCAACACGAGAATTCACAACCCAACTTCAAGTATGTAATTTCTCCCAACGATCTCAAGCGTAAGATTCATCAAAAAATGAAGTCTTGACTAGGATACAAAATATCACAATTACAACTCAAAAGAATAGAACAAGTACAAATCAATCCATACGATTCTATTATCACAATTAAGTGGAAATAATACCAAACAATAGTTTAGCAAATACAACAATCCTATCGAAATATGACAAGGAGAAGATTTCCCATCAATCCCGTGTGTGTATTTATGTATCATTGGCCATTGGACACTGAAGATGTCTTCTTTGATCTTCTGCTTGCATGGATCTTGGAATAAACGCTTTTCGTTCTGATAGAGAGCAAAACGTCGAGACCGAACCCAATAATGCACGCAATTGCCATAACCACAAACACTAGCCGGTAGCAGTGGGCACCTAAACATGTGTTCCCACCTCCAGCTGTGCGTGTAGCTTCAGAATCATATAAGAAGCCAGCTAGCAATCCAGAGAAGAGGAACGATCCAAGTGGGAGATTAAGGATTAGAATATTGTAAATGAGACCGTAATATTTGAGTCCAAATAGTTCGGAGGCAGTAGGAACTGAGACAGCAATGCGAACTCCATAACATATCCCAACCACTATGGAACCAACATATAGTGAGCCTGGCATAGCAATAGCCATTATGGTATATCCCACTGCCATTAGAATCTGTGAAGCTGCATTCCATATTGGCCTTGGCATTCCTGCCCTCCTGTGGATAACAAAATAAAAGAAAGGTAAGCAATTGGAATTGACAAATAAGTGCCTTGAAATAATTGACATTCCCTGGCCATTCCAATCCAAAGAACTTGTTCAACTTCAACATGGTTGCAAGCCATGTTAAACTTATTTGGGTATATGATACTTGTAAAAGCAGGATGTATCAAAAACATGATCAAAAGAACTGGTCGGTTCGATTCCTCTCCTAGAATATTCCATTAATAATAATTTTTATGCATATAAGTTAGAAGTGCCATTTTGGGATTCCTTATCATCCACAATGATGTTACGATCCCAATTCACCTATTGAAAACAACAAAAAATATCCAATTGTAAGAGAGAGTTCAACATCAATTTTCCAATATCCAACCCTAATATTTGTGTTAAATTTCCGGGAAAAAAAGGGGAAGGCATGAAAGTCACCTAGAATGGGTTAAACAAGGACTGAATGACAGGAAAAAGAGGCATGGAAAAAGGCTCCTGCCTACCACCTAATCTAAATAAAGATAGTCTCATCACTTTTCTTCCCACAAAATCTCATAAGATTTTGTGTGAAGAAAAGTGCAAAGATTTTGCATCTCTTTAAAGAAGTTGTTATAATCGTCAACAAAAGCAGCAGCTAATTACAAAAAGAGTAAATAAACAACTTTTTTTACATATAATTTTCTAAGACAAGTAATTTAGAAGTTTTTGCTTCACGTATTGCCAAAGTTGAAAAGAAGATCACAGCATGCCAAGAGAAAAAGGTAAATCAAAGTGCATAATGAATCACCATAAAGTTTATTCTATCCACATGATGCATTTACACAAGCATAAAGAAAATCAAAGAGTAATTTGTGAAAGAAGTAATGAACTTACTTAATGAAGTACTCAGAAACCCATCCTGATAGAATGCGCCCAAAGAATCCCCAAATGCTAGTAAGCGACACGAACATGGAAACATCTGTATAGCCAAGTGCCAACCCCATTTGTCCCATGTTATTCATCACTGTCAGGCCCGTCCCAACTCCACAAAGAAACGACACGAACAAAATCCAAAAATCCAATGTTTTCAAGGCCTCGATTATGGTGTGTTCTTCTCCAAGAACCGGCCTCCTCTTTTTGACAAACTCCATTACTTCCACATTTTTCTCCACCTCCGCTTCCACCACAGGTTCTTTCACTTCTTCGGCCAGTAATGGCTCGGTTACATTGCGTTCAATGTCCATGGTTTTAGAGTCAGAACAGGGCCTGATTAAATTCTTTAACGCGAGGTAAATTGGAATTGATATAGGGGAAGCTAATAGAACTAAAAGCACTGCAGCAAACACTTGGGAAAAGAGGCGGCCATGAGCCCCTGTAACATCAAATGCCAACAGATAGAGTGCTATAACAACAGCAAGAACGTTAATTACGCCGAAATATTTAGTATCATCATTTTCTTCGGTGGCGGTGGACGACGGTGGGATTTCACGGAGGAAAACAATGGCAGTGAGGCAAACCACAAAGGGTATTACTGCAAGCATGACTAGAAACTTAGCCGGATCATCGGCGAACAAAGCCGAGCAGATGTCGGTGAAAATTGCCGTGCTTAAACCGACATAACCTTTCAAAATCCCGGAAACTGGACCTCTGTTTTTCCTGAAATTTCTAATACATGTGACCAGAATTGCTGTATTCATCCATGTCGTGCTGTTTCCTCCCATACACATGAAAATACACATCTGCACCGAATTCAGATATTAGCATTAGTATATTTCACACTTCACGGCAGAAAATAAAGCTTATGTTTTGATATACTTACAGCCCAGTAAGGGAGGGGTTGGATGCGGCGGCTAACGACAAGCCACTGAACGCCGTAACCAATAAAGCCTTCAATTGAGCCGATGAGGAGAATGACGGGGCTTGGGAGACGGTCGGAGGCGATTCCGGCGAGTAGTCCAAAAGCTTTTCCGACGTCTTTGGCGACGGAGAGGTTATTGAGCTGGAGTTGAGTGAGTGCCATGAGGGACTTGAGGGCGTCTGAGTAATTAGAGAAAGTGTAATTATTGCCGGAGATAGCTTGAACCCAGACTGCGGTTACAAAACCCAGCCATTTTCCGGCGGGGGACGTCGGTGAAAGCATGCCCATTAACAACAACAGTAGAAGAAAGTTGGTGAGAATTTAGAGAGAAAATCTTGAACGGTGGTGAAGCAGAGGATTAGGAATCCCATTAAAGAAAACTTTTTGAAATAAAATTCTAATTAATTTGGTTGTAGATTTCTACATTGATACGCACAACTTGCTCCCGGAAAAGGGCAATCGGTTGATATTTCCTTTGGAAAGTTGTATAGTCGGTCCTCAATTTATTGTTTAAATAGTAAGTTGATCCTCAACTTTTGTCAATTCTAATCTTATAATAGTCGCTCATCGAACAAAACCATCTCAATTTCTATTAAAATATAAAGTTCAAATAGACCTCCAGTTGTTAACTTAATCCACACACAATTTTTCACCATCGGCACTGTTATTGTCATCCTCAACTCAAATAAATTCGTTGGCAAATTATATTTCAAATGCAAAAGAGATTCGATTGCATATAACTATAGAGTAGGGTTAATTATAATGGAGATCACTCAACCTTTGCCCTGGTTGCAATAACGTTAACTAAACTTTAATTTGGAGCGATCAATCATAACTTTAATGTAAAAGCAGCTAAGCCACTCGATTTGAAATCTGTTGACGTGCTTACTGAATACCACTAACGTTTCCATTAAAACTAACGAATTGTCAACGTGTCCATCCCGGTCAACAAATTAATAAAACTATAGGTCATTGAACTTTTACTCTAATTGCAATCGGGTTATTAAACTTTCATCCTAGGTGAAGGTGGGTCATTGAACTTTCTTCAAACTCTAGAACGCTTAGATCTTTTGTATTCTTCTTGCTTGGTTCGTTTGCGTGAAAGCCACATTGAAACTCCATACTACATAACCATTTTTTGCTAATTTTAGAAGTTTGTTATGAGTCACCCAATGTGCATATGTCAAACGTTAATAATTAGTCATATAATTGTTGTACATTAGCAAAATTTGGTGGGTCCCATGACAAATTTTTTTTCCTCCTTAATGGCCCCACCTGCGATAGTTGCGCTTATAAAATGTATCATGCTATAAGCCTATCGTCTTATCAAGTGCCTGCATTTCATAATAAAACAATACATCAATGATATAACTTGTTGTGAGTTCATTGACATTAACTTCCCATTAATGCAATAGTTAAGCTACTCGATTAATATAATTTACAATCAAGCATTGAGCACACTACAAGCTATGTTGAATAAGACCTCCGACGTTCAAATCAGCATTATAAGTCTGTATTTTTAGAATTGAAAGATTGACTCTATATATTGATAATTATTTTTTACCTTATCCAAAATATCTTCTATAGACATTTTCTTAAGATTTGCAAGGAATCCTTCTATCTTCTTTAGATTTTGTCCCTCTTCTATTAGTCTTTGATTTGGTGTCATCCTCAAGACAAGATCAATCATCCGCGATTGATAGCTGTTTGTGAATTATATTGAAATAACGTATAAGATATTTAGTGAGAACAATAAGTAATTCTCTTTTTTCTTTGTTGACGTAGGAACCCGTAGCCGTTACCCTCCGCGGAGTTTTGACCACTGTGAGTGCGCACTGGGTAAACTCCGCTCCATATTAGTAGCCCACAAACCACGTAGGAGAAGTAAATCGCACCAGACGACGAGCTCGACCGAAGAAGTGTTGGCAGGAAATTCAAACTCATAATATTTGATCTTCGCGTTCACATACTCCACCAGCTCGGCCACCCCCGAAGGGGTAACAATAAGTAATACTCTTAATTTGCCTCTAGCTTGTACTTGACCATATTATTAGGTCTGAATAATGTAGTCTTGTATTAAGGATAAATCTCATATCAATAATGCTATAATCAAATAATCAATATACAGGCGTTTGTGGATTTGGATTATTACTCTCAACAATATTGATATTTTAAGATAGAATTTTAACATGAAATTTAATTCGATTAAAACACGATGACACGAATTTTAAGATTGACTACCATCACGATGGAGATTGTGGGTCCAAGTTGGATGGATGAATATTCAACGTGCTAAGAAAAACATATTCTCTCCGTCTTATTTATATATGCTCACTTTCCTCATTTTCTTTTCCCAATTATAGAGTCTTGTTTCTTTATTAAAAATGTTTTATTTTGTTCGTTTACTAATATACAATTATTTCTTTACTACTTTCAATAATAATTTACTACGAGTTATTGATAATTAAATGAGGATAAACTAAGAAAGTCGTTGGCAAAAATTGATTTTCCAATAATATTAAATAAGATTTCTTAATCCGTGTGAAAAACAAAACAAGTCTATATAAATGGGACGGAAGGAGTAAGATATTTTTGAAATCAAAACCATGTCGACCTCATTTTTCCCAAGACCCACCTAAAGTATTATTAATAATGGATACTTGGTGGAGCAGGTGAACGCGGAAACCAAATGTCACGAGTTCGAATCCCCTGCCAACACTTCCTCGATCGAGTCTGTCGCACAGGACTTACATAGTGCGGTTTACCTTTCCTGTGTTGTTTGCGGGTTACTGCACATGGAGTAGAGTTTACCTAGTGCGCACTCACAGTGGTTGGGCCTTCGTTCTTTCAGGGTGGTCGAGGTTCCGTTGGAGGGTAGTGGCTGCGGGTTCCTACGTCAACAAAAAATATATATATATAATAGATAAATTTTTTTACAGATAAAAAAAATAATAGACAAATTTTGTGGGGTATTTGTATATAAATGAATTTTTATAAGTTATGTCATTGTGCATGTTGCATGGTCCTCTTTATTAATTGGGAATCTTTTTCACTTTTTCTTCGGGCATGTTCCTATCTGCACCCAAAAGGCATATTCCTAATGCAATCCAGTTAGAGTTCAATTTTACACGAAATGGTTCTTTTTTTGGAATTGGTTAAAGTAATTTTGAATCCAATTCTCTTATGGTCCGTTTGATTGTAATGGTGAAAAATGGATGGAAAGAAAATGAATTTCAGAGAAAGTAATTGTCTAAAAATTGTTTTACAGAGAATTGTTAATTAAGTGTATTTCATTCGTACAATTTTCCACCCGGAATATTTTTAAATTTTGTGTTCGTTTGGCCTTCGTTTGCATCAAAATTGTCCATTAAAGTGATAATTTTTTTCCATATTTGGTTATAAAATTCGTTTCCATTGCGAAAATGTAAAAAAAAAAAAATATTTCCTAAAAAATTAATTTTTTCATCAAAGTTTAATATTCGTTTGACCTTCGTTTGCATCAAAATTGTCCATGAAAGTGAATTTTTTTTTTTTTAACATTTGGTTATGAAATTTGTTTCCATTGACCAAAAAAAAAAAAAAAAACATAGAAATGACTTGGAAAAATGAATTCACCAATTACAAGGAAAATGGGCGCGTGAAGCAGCAAGGAAGAAAACAATTGCCTTGGAAAATTGTGTCCATCAAACAATCCAAAACCAAGAAGACGGAAATGACTTTCCAAGTTCCATGAAAATAAATGCACATCAAATAGACCCTTAGTTATTTGAGAAATAATATTCATCGGGATGCATCCCCAATCTATGTGGCGTTTATGTGACATTAAATGATATGTGAAATTAAATAAGTCATTTAATTTCACCTATCATTTAACCAATCATTCACATCCACATACACTGGGGATACATCCCTATTGAAGATGAATAACATTTTTCTAGTTATTTAGTGTCGGGAAGTTGAACTACTGATTCGCTCATCTAAATATTAAAATTGGCGAAATATATTTAGAAAGGACGATTGCATAGTACTCAATAATATTGATTAAGAAAAAAAAATGTTTATTATATTGTTCTATATCAAATCATTGAAGTGCTTATATGATATTTATCATAATATATAAAAATTGTGATGGTCGAGAAACATTCAGGTTTCCATTTGTTCTTGCATTTTTTGTTTATGATCAATAATATCCTTATTTATTGACTTATTTAATGACTATTTCATACATTGACGGTGAAGTTAATATTATTTTTACAATTAATATTATATTTTATAACTTAAAACTATCTCTTCAAATTCCATATGATATAATGATCCAATTAAGTTATAATAAATAATGCAATATAATCTAAAGGTCCCGTAACCTAACCCTTTTTTATTTTTATTTTTTTTTAACGTTTTAAGTAGAAATGTTTCTATTAATATTATTTGAATTTGTTAATAGAGAATATTATTCCCTTATAAACTAAATGTTTATGGTAACATCGTATTAACATTTCTTTCTTATAAGCTCTCAAAATGTAGCTGTCTTTTGTACTTTCATGAAATCGACCAAGGCTGTTACTTTCGATGAAATCGACAGAGCTTTTTCTTTCAATTTTCTCTCGTTAGATTTATTTTTGTGCACTTTATTTGATTTTAATTTTTAATATCCGACGTGATGTTACAAACACAAGTGGAATGAAACTAACTGGTAACTACAATACTTCGAGTTGTAACATTGCATTGCAGGACACATTTGGGGTTGAATTTAAAGTATTCGACATCTTCAACTATATAAGTGAGAACTGATGTATGGCAATTATCAGTGAAAAATTGCAAGAAAATTGATAAGTGCATTTTTGTACGCTTATTTGGGGCGGCCATATTACTAAGATTTTGTGTCGTTTTATTATTGCATTTTACTTAATTTATGTTATCTTTATCTTATTTCAGTTTTGGACATTTTTCTATGCAATTGGAAAATAAACAAGGATAAATTGGTCAATTGATGGAAGTTTTGGGACTATTATGCATTTGAGTAAAAGTTGAAGCACTAAAATTGAAATAATTTGATGTGGAAGATCAAGATGGAAGAAAGAATGAAGAATTAGGCTAATTCTGTACTAGAAAAATGACGAACTATATAATGCCCCTGTTTGCCACATATTTTAATTTCATTCTCATTCTCATTTTTTTCTATTTCTTCATTTCAATCATATATTCTCTAAATAAAATAATAATACACATAAATTAAAATATTTTCATCACTTTTTCACCACATATTCTCCCATCAATCACTA